AGTTGACCATGTTAGATCAGGAGCAGTTTGACCTCTAGTTACTTTGGCAGCAGCCAGGGAAGCCAGACCAGCCCTGAAGACCAGATTGCTGAAATGCATTCTACAGGAGTTGGGGTTGGTGCTAGGCCGTAGAGCTATTTGCCTCAGACATGGTTATTGGAGTCCTCCATATTTTGTAGGTTTTATTCCCAGAGCTATTACGGAGTTTGTTTTTCTGACTGGAGCCAAAAGCAGATGCAGAAGGAAAGGATCTGAAGATGACTTGAGATTTTTTAGAGGTGAAGAGTTGCTTAAGACATGTTATGAAAAAAGTGATTGGAGGGGCACCTGGGTGGCTCGTTAGGCGTCTGCCTTCCACTCAGGTCATGATCCCAGGGTCCTGGGATCGAGCCCCACATCAGGCTCCCTGCTTGGCAGGAAGCCTGCTTATCCCTCTCCCACTCCCCCTGCTTATATTCCCTCTCTTGCTGTCTCTCCCTCTGTCAAATAAATAAAATCTTAAAAAAAAAGAGAAAGAAAAAAGTGATTGGAGAACAGGCAGTGTTGTATAGTGCTTTGTTCCTCAGAGAGGGTTCCTGGACTGACAGTATCCATATCACCTGGAGCTTATTAGAAATGCAGAATTCAGGCCCCACCCCAGAACTTCTGGATCAGATTCTTTTCTTTGACAGGATCCCAGGTAAGAAACCTTTTAGTGGATAGAAGGGCAAGAGCTTTAGGTCAGGCAAACTGGATTAAGATCTCAGTTCCTCTACTAATTTGCTGTATGATCTTGGGCCTCTTCCTTAACCTTTCCACTATTAGGATTTATTGTAAATTGGGTTTACCTATCTTGCTGGATTGTTAGTATTAAAGGAGGTAACATAAAAAGTGCTTAGAAACATAGTAAGGTAGCTCTTATTAGTAGTTATTTGATAAATAATATCTTTATATAATTTGACAGAATATGAAAAGAAAGAGCAGGATATCATTAGGACTAACTCTGTCATGAGACATGAGTTGATAATTGAGAAAAATATCCTGAGCTGATGGGGCAGTGGATGTGGTTGGCTCACTAACAATTTTCCCTCAGTGTGAGACCGTAAGTGTACTTGTTAAATAACCAAGAGTTGACAGCTATACTTCTTAATGGCCGCTGAACTCTTGGAAGGGAAAATTATCTGCGGAAGTGGTAGCTAAGTCTTGGCATCCAGCAAGTCCTTCACATTATAGAGGACAGAACCATGGCTTGAGAATTGAGACCTGGGCTCACTTCTGCCCCTTGGTAACTCATAACCCTTAACCATGCATTTAACATCTCTGAGCCTTAGTCTTCATCTATAAAATGAAGATTAATGGGATGAGGTGTAAATCCCAGTACACAAGCAAGGGATTATCATCTCCATATCATCCTTACTTGGTGTCTACCATATTGCTCACTAGACAGCATCCAAAGTCCCAGAGGTGAATTTTATACTTGATGCCACCAGCCACTTGAGAATCTTCACTCCTGGGGTTCTTTGGAGTTGTTCAGGTTACCTGGATTTCCCAGTGACCAGAAGGTACCTTAGGAAAGTACATAGACCATTCAGGTATTGCTATAAATCTCAAGGACTGGAACCGTAGGAGACTAGACTTTGGAATGGAATGAGAATGATGGTGGTAATACTGTCAGAAACAACAATGACAATACATATGACAGGTTACTACCACGAATCCAGGAGTGCCAAATACGGAAACCTCCATCCCTTACACTACATGTTACTGCCTTTCAGGCCCTCCGTGTAAGAGACAAGACCAAATGACAACTGCTTTTAGACTTGAGAAATCTGCGCCCACTAAAAGCTGCAGTCACCTTTTCTGACCTCACCCATCCACCTTGTATTCTCAGAAATAATTGCTAGTAGTTCTCTTTTAACTTAGCTGATTCCTTAGATACCTTACATTTTAAATCATCTTTTTGTGTGTAGCAAATGCCCCATTTCTTGTCTCTGAATGTGTGATCTTTGCTCTAATTATGTTGAGAGTGCCTGTTATTTCACCTGACTCTGGTTGTTTGTGAGATACTAAATAGCCATGGGGTTAAAGCTGACTCGGATCAAAGAGCAACTCAGCCTCTCAGGACCTCAGTTTCCTCGCTTAGGAAGGGAAGAGATTGGACTAAGGTCATTTGGTCATGCGACAAGAGTACGTGATAGATAAAGTAATGAACTTCTGTTTGCTGAAAGCAATGAATAGGGCTCTCCAAGGTCTCTTCCAGCTCTCTGGTTCCAGCAGAGCCCAGGCATCAAGGTAGAAGTAAAGATTTTATTCAGGAGAAAGGGATTATCAGCAGCAACAGAAAAAAAAAAACTTTAAGCAGATAAGGTTGCATTGAGCCATACCGTAAGAGAGATGTCTCAGACCATGAGATAGATGTGAGCAAAGGAGAGTGCAGAATTGTTAGGGCAACCAGAATCGAGTACCCTTGATTATGTAATAGAATGGCTTTTCTCTCTTGGATGTTGGAACACACAAATCTAGGAAGAGGTGGGCCCAACTTCTCCATGGAACTCCATAATACAGGATGTCTAAGGCAACAACCTGTATAGACAACATAATAGAGGCGACCTGTTCTTCCTTTCCATTGCTAGTCACTTTCCTTATTAGTCCAGCCCTCATGTCACTGGGAAAGCTCTGCTTTAATTGTGCTATTCCTATTTCAGAAGCTCCTCCCTCAAAACAGGTGGAAGTTCCTCTGCTTATTTTCTGGCCTCCCTAACCTAGGTAGCCTTGTGCTCCACCCTTTCTCTTCCGTGAGTGGTTTTGGAGACCCTCCCTAGCCAGCCCAGTGTCCATAATAATGATGGCAGCTAGTTACGGATGTCCTTCCAGAGCTGGGTGCACATACATGATCCTGGACACATACATGATTTCCAGCACCCAGGCCAGGTGTGCCTCTTCTGGAACGGAGTTCATGACTCTTCCTCTGTCTGGAGTTCTTTACCTTTCACCCTGGCCTGTTCGAGTTGTACCTCACTTGCGTTTACCAGCTGTAGCTCTTGCCTTTTCCTTGCCACTCATGGGGATCAGTCTGTTTGTTTGTTGTTGTTTTTCTCTTCCTTTCCTTCTTGTCTCTTACGGATTGAGTCCTTTTAAGAGATCTGTTTTCAATCATTCTAGCATTGGATCAACTTTATTACCAATTCCCTGTGGACAAAGATCTTGTTTTATATGCATTTGAATCCCTCACAGCACTTAGCAATGTGCTGAGTAAATAATAGGCAAATGACCCATAATTAGGAATAGGACGACATGTATATATAGTATAGTAATTGGGGAATGGGAGGTCCAGTTCCTGAGGTACAGAAAAGAGCCTCCTACTCTCCAGTAGTGACAACAAAGGCCTTTGTTTGAGTGCTTTGCTAAGGACATCACCAGCACTTGTGGATTTCAGAACATCTATTTTATTTAATTAAGCAGTGCATATCGAGAGTAAGTCTTCAGTGTTGTATTCCTCCTTGTTCATCAAAGGGATTGCATGTTTCCTACGAACTATGACTTAATTCTCACTTCTGCTTTTTCTGGTTTTTGTCTTGCCTCTTTTTAACTTAAAGAATTCTTAAACTTTCAAATCCTTTTTGGAAGTAGACAATAAAAATTTTAATAAATAATAAATAAACAAACAAACCAATAAATATTCTTTGTGCTCCTTTTAGAAAGCTGGCCTAGTTTCCACTTTGTGTTGAATTCCCATTTGTGTTTTGGGTCATTATGCAGCACTTGGTTCAGCCAATTAAGTTTTTTCTTTCTAAGTATCTTTATTCTATATCAGTATAGTCTTTTCTTAAGGCTTTAATATTGTTCCTTTGAGGAACGTCCATCTTTGTGGTGCTCTTTTGTTGCTTAAATGTTCTTCCCTTGGGACCTTTGGCAGTTTTCCCAAGGCTAGCAATTTCAGTAAGTGCTTATTAATAACATAATTTAGGTTGCCTCTATACAAGGACCTACAGGACTTAGAGATTCCAACATGCCGTGTTCTAACTCTGAAAGGTACACTTTCACAACATTATATCTAATGCTGTATTCTCTCCCCTCAGTTTAACTTCCCCAACAAAGGGAATTAGGGGAAACAGTAAAATATGTTAGAGGCTCTTACATTTTAGTTGTGAGATCAGCAAAGTATAGTTTAGCCTCTATAGTACATTTCACTAGCCCCCAAATCACCAGTGTATCCCTCATGATTATATATTAGATTTATTTAATAATAGTATTCTGTACCTGAAAGTGGTCTACGAAGATTATATAGTTTATTTACAGATAGATACTTGAGCTGTCAAGTCAGATGGCTAGTTTCAAAACAATTTAATGAGGATGATTCACAGTCTAGTAATAACAACTACCACATGTAGTAGTTTCTATGTGCTAGGCACAGCTTTAAGTGTAAACACGCCCACTCATTAATTCTCTTATAAGTAACATATAGCTGATTTTTTAAAAACCCAATCAGAGAACCTCTCTGCCTTTTAAAGATTTATTTATTTGGGAGAGAGAGAAAGAACGTACGCATGTGTGAGACTTGAACACAAAGCCTAATGCTGGGCTCGATCATGATCATGACTGAGATCACGCGACCTGAGCTGAAACCAAGAGTCGGACACTTAACTGACTGTGCCACCCAGAGGCCCCATCTCTCTGCCTTTTAACAAGAAAGTTCAATTTGTTTATTGTGATTAATAATACATTTGGACTTATTTCTGCCATCTTCAATTGTTTTCTATTTAATGCGATTTTCTTTTGCCTTTCTTTTTTCCTTTTCTCACTTGCTGTTGGATTAATCACATTTTCTTTATTTTCTTTTGTACCCCCCGTTTGCAAATATTTATCTTTCTATTTTCCTACATCCTTACCTGTTAATATACATACTTCATTTAGGCTAAAGGCTAAAGTCAGTCATTGTTTTTGTCATCCTCTTGACTCTTGGAACACCCTGACTCTGGTCTCTCATCTTCCATGTTGTTGTTGATTGTTAATTTCAGAGAGGCATTGGATTTCTACGAATACAGAACTTTAGAGCCTGGCTGCCTGAGTTTGGACCCCAGCTCTGCCACACATTAGTGTAAACCCTAGGTAAGTTATGTAACCTTTTTGTGTGACAGTTTTTTTAATCTGTAAAATGTGGATAATAAGAGTACCTACTCCATAGAGTTGTTGAAAGGATTAAATGAATTAATATATGCAAAGCATTTAGAACAGTGCTTGGCACATAGTAAGCTTCCAGTAAGTGCTAGCACTATGGTTGTCATTATTCTGTTTTGTTTTTAACCTCTCCTTCCAGTACCCATTTTTATTTTTTATTTTTTATTTATTTTATTTATTTTTTTTTTTAAAGATTTTATTTATTTATTTGAGAGAGAGAGAATGAGAGACAGAGAGCAGGAGAGGGAGGAGGGTCAGAGGGAGAAGCAGACTCCCTGCTGAGCAGAGAGCCCGATGTGGGACTCGATCCTGGGACTCCAGGACCATGACCTGAGCCGAAGGCAGTCGCTTAACCAACTGAGCCACCCAGGCGCCCTCCAGTACCCATTTTTAAACAGTCAGTGCATTTTAAGTATACCAACACATTTCTTAATTTTTTATTGAGATATAATTAACAACTGAGCTTAGATGTTATGTTTGAAGAGTTTTGACAAATATCTATTCTTTAAACACCACCCAGAATAAGATGTAGAACATTTCCATTCCCCAGAAAGTTCTTTTGTGTCTCGTTCCATTCAGTCCCTTCCCTACACCATCCCAACAACCTCCACACTACTATCTGATTTTTATCACTGTTAATTAGTTGTACCTGTATTTGTTTCCTATAAGTTGAGTCATATGTGTGTACTTTATGCCTGGCTTCTTTGACTTAACATAATAGTTTAATGGTTTATCCATGTTGTTGCATTTATTAGCAGTTTATTCTATGTTATAAGAAACCTCCACGTAGTTCTCCTACGTAGTTGTACCGTTTTACACTTCTGCTAGCAGTGTATGAGAGTTCTAGTCATTCCACATCCTCACCAGCATTGATGTTATCAGTCTTTCTGATTTTACCTTTTCCAGTGGATTTGTTTAGCAGTTTCTTTGCTTGCCACTTGCTATTTCTTCTTATGTTCTATCCTTTTTTGTTTTTTTCCTGGTTTAGTTTCCTTCTTAAAGTAATTCTTCCAGTGATGGTCTGTGTCTGTTTGTTTGAAGATAATTTTATTTCAATCTGGATATTGATACTTGATTGTTATTTTCCTTAATATTCAAAAACTGTTATTGCATTTTCCTTTGGCATCTGTTGTTATTTATTTATTTATTTATTTTTCACATTAACATTCTTAGTTTATTAATCCTCGCATGAAAAATCTGCACAACCACCACAGATAAAGCCACTGCAGCATCTTTACTCCTTCTTTTTGCCAGCACCAACATTGGCTTTTGCAGTCCCCCTGACTTTCTTCATTCTGTTCTTGGCGTTCCTTTCGCTTTTTTCTTGATGTCTTCTTCTTCTCATACAGGCCATGTCTTGCAAGTCTGTGTTTGGGTTCATTTTTCTTTGCATAATCCAAGGAATCATAAATCATGCCAAAGCCAGTTGTCTTGCCACCACCAAAATGGATTCTGAATCCAAACACAAATATGACATCTGGTGTGGTCTTGTACATTTTGGCTAGTTTTTCCTGAATTTCTGTCTTAGGTACTGTTGCCTTTCTGGGGTGAAGAACATCAATGACCATCTGTTGCCGCTGAAGTACTCAGTTAATCATGAACTTCCTGGTCCAGATAGTTACTGTGTCATTTATGATGGCGGCCAAGCCTAATGTTATTTAAATAGAAAGTCTATATCAGCCTAGTTGTCATTCTTTTGTAAGTAATGTCTTTTCTCTTGGTTTCCTTACAAATTCTTTTTCTCCGTGTTGTTAATATTTTGAAGTTTTCTTCTGAAGACTCGTGTTTGTCTTTAATTCTAGAATATTCTCAGAAATTATCTTCAAATTGTTTCTCCTGTGCTTTTTCCATTATTTCCTCTGGAACACCTTCTCATTCTGTCTTCTGTGTCCTTTAACTTCCTTTTCATATTTCTGTTTTTATAAACTCTGCTACCTTCTGAGTAATTTTCCCAGACTTCTCTTCTTAATCACTAATTTTTTCTTTAGCTGTGTCTAGTTTATTTAATTTATCAATGTGTGAATGCCAGTGACTTAATTTTTTATAACTATAAGTTCTTTTTCACATCTGACTATCCTTTTTCCATATTATCTTGTTCTTTGATTTTGACTTCCTTCATTTTGCCTGTTTATTAAAATGAAATATAATTAATTTATAGCATTTTTCATAGTGTTCTATTGTTTTTATGGTTTTCAATCCTTGGGGCTGCTATTTGTGCTGATTCCTGCATTTAGTGACTTTCCTTCTGGTGATTCTCATCTCCTCATGTGACTTTTTAGTTTTACTTTTTGCCTCTTGGGGGTGGTGCAGTGAGCCCCCTCATCCATGACACTCTAGCATTTCTCTGTCTGAGCAAGGCTCCCCTTGTTTGATTTTATTTTTTATTTTTCTTTCTCACCTCCAACACCCTCATTCCCCTCCCACACTATAGGCACCTACTCTAATGTATTTGATAAAATGTCTTTGGCTACATATGTGGCCTTATCAAATATATGGTATTGTTCTGATTATATGTTTTTAACTTATATAAATGCTATTATGCTCTAGATCTCATTGTGGTTGTTATTTTTTCACTCAACACTGGGTTTCTATCCATGTTTCTGTCTTAGTAGCTAGTTGTTGCTTCTTTCTAATGCACTGTTTTCCATAGTATACCTCCTGTACATTTACTTAATTCTTTTAGTGATGGACATCTAAATTGCCTCTGATCTTCCTGCTACCAAAAACAATGCCCCAGTGATCTTTCTGGCCTTGCTTCCTTATGGACCCATGTAAGAATTTTTCTAGGATATGTACGGAGGAATATGATTACTGGGTTACAAGGCATATATATACAGAAAATTTCACTAAATATTAGCAGAATGTTTTTCAGAACAGCTATATCAATTTATATACCCACCAAGTGCCCTAGATTCAAACTCAAGTTCTACCATGTGTTAACTGTGAGATCTTGGAGAAATTACTCAACCTCTCTGGGCCTTAGTCTCTTCATCATAAAAGGGGATAATTACAGCATTTGCCCCATCAGGTTGTTGAGAGGGCAAAATGAATTAATATGTGTAAAGCATATTCCTGAATATAATAAACACTTCCTGAATACAATAATCATTAGATAAATGCTAGCTGCTATTACTACTATTATTTTTTTTAAGATTTTATTTATTTGAGAGAGAGCACAAGCAGAGTAGAGGGAGAGGGGGAGAAGCAGATTCCCCACTGAACAGGGAGCCCGATACAGGCTCGATTGGGATCATGACCTTAGCCAAAGGCAGATACTTAACTGACTGAGACACCCAGGTGCCCCTATTACTGCTATTTTAACAACTACTATTACTGCTTGTTGATTAATTAGAAGTAAGCTTTTCCTTCTCTGAATTGCCTGGTTACATCATTTGCTCCTTTTCCCCCCTTGGATTTTAATTTTTTTCTCTAGATTTGCAGGAATTTCTTATATCTTCTAGGTATTAATTCCGTGTTGCCTTTGTGCAATATTATCTCCTGAATTTACCCTTTGTCCATTGTCTGTTAATCATGTCTTTGATAGAAACCTTCACTATCACTGCAGATTCATCATCCCCTCCCCCCCCTTTTTTTTTTTGGCATTTGGGGCATTAAGAAGTTTCCCTACCCTTGCTTCAGAGATACCTTCTGACATTTTCTACTGTTAGCCTTTATAGATTTACCTTTCACGTTTGTGTCTTCCTCATATGGTATGTAAGAGTGAGCTCTGTTCTGTGTTTTTCTTCTTCACTGTGTGAGTCTCTGTGCCTTGGGTTGTGAAAGTACTCTGGTTTTTTCTGTTGCATGTCAAAGACCAGTTTTTATGTTAATTTCTCAGCTCAGGATTCCTGTATGATACAAATTTACATACCCACACTTGCCTCTGTATGGCATAGGCCTGCATTTTAGATTTCTTATGGGTGCTTTTTCCTCTTCTTAAGGCCTATATAATTAACAACTTTTATTGCTGCTTCCGAGCCAGTGAGCAGAGATTTTCTCAGACTGCATATCAAGGAAGGATAGGTATTTGAGCCTCTGGGCTTTGTGCAAGGGTCTCAGCTTCAACTCGCCCACCTTCTACCTGCCTGAAGCTGTATTTCTAGTCTCCATGTGAGGATTAATGCTTTCTCCTCCAAGCTCTGGGCCTGTATTGGTGTTTGAAACCCCTGTGGGCCACCATGGTCTCAACACCCACTTAATGTTCCAGTTTTGATTTTGATGTCTCTTTCATTTTAGGTGCCTGAGGATTTCTTTTTTTTTTTTTTTAAAGCTTGACTATATATTTTAAAGGCATTTTAAAAGTGTTTTATCCAGCATTTCTGTATGAAGTGGGAGAAAAGGTCCATTTACATCAGCTTGGCATGCCGTTTTGCCAAAAGTTTGCTCTTCAATTAGTTATTCCTATTAATCTTAGTAAAATTTCAACTTCTAACATTGCCAGCTTACATTCATTAAGTAGCCCTCGATCACCCTTGAAAGTTTTCTGCCTTACCTATCTCCATTCTCCCTTTATTGCAAGTTTATGACCATGTTTTTAATATCTGTGTATTGATAAGCCACATAATTCAGTTCACTTTTTTTGAACCTTGCTCAGTTGCTTATTCTGCTACAGTTATTCTATTATTTTCCCATCTAATTTTTCTTAAAGATTTTATTTATTTCAGAGAGAGAGAGGGAGTACACGAAAGCATGAGCCAGGGGAGGGACAGAGGGAGAAGCAGACTCCCTCTGAGCAGGGAGCTTAGCTCGATGTGGGGCTCGATGCAGGGCTTGATGCAGGGCTTGCTGTGGGCTGGATCCCAGGACGCTGGGATCATGACCTGAGCCAAAGCCAGCCACTTAACTGAGTGAGCCACTCAGGCGCCCCCCCCATCTAATTTATTTATTAACAAAAATATGAAATAGCTCTGACCACAAGGTTCTGTAGTGAATGCTCAAAATACCTACCTCTGGATCATTGCTAGATCTTTTTTTTTTTTTTTTTCCAATCTGATGAAAGCTGTAGATAACTTCCCCAGAAAAATGACCAAAAAACATCTTAAGTAAGTTCGTCCTGAAAATAGAATCCCAATCACTTGTTTCATATTAATAAGAATATTTTAAAAGATCTAATATATGTCCAGGTAAGTGTTTTGATTTATTGAATTCATAAGGCCTATGGTTTCTCTTAGGGGAAAAAATCACATTCTACTGATATAATTCATTCTTTAGAAAAACTTTAGTGTCTGTTTAATAGTTTATACTTTTTGTTATTTGCAAGTTGAATTCTTGTTCTGATTTTTTCCTCAGTTATTAAAATAAGTTAATTTACAAATTTTAAGAATTACCTTCTTTTTAAAAAAGATAGTCCCTACTTTTGCCTGTTTTAAATCTTACAGAATCTTTTTTGTTTGTTTGTTTTGTTTTCCACCAGTACCAGGAGATAGGAATTCCAGTCCTGCCCCTTCCGCTGCTACTAGTAGAGCAAGGTGGGTAGCTCCTAGTCTGCAGTTTATTTGTTTTTAAAAAATAGGCATTTTTATAATACAGGTATCAAGACAAATTGTACTCAAACAGTAGGGCTAGATGTTCTTAAATATATTCTGAGTAAACTAAAAATATTATATAAATTCATAAATGTTCCATAATATTAAATATCATGGTATAGATAGGGTTTGGGGTGATTAGAACTGAAAACTTTACATTCATTTTATGAAGTCTTATAAATAAGTGAACTTTATTTTTTAGAGCAGTTTTAGGTTTACAGCAAAATTGGAAGTACAGAGTACAGTAGAGTGTTCCCCACACCCACACAGCCTCCCCCACTATCCCACAACGCAGTTTGTTACAATCAGTGAACCTACATTGACATATCATTATCACTCAAAGTCCACTGTTTTCATTAGGGTACATTTCTGGCATTGTGCATTCTATGAATTTTGACAAATGTGTAATACAGGAATCCACCATTGTGGTATCATAAAGAATAATTGCACTACCCTAAAAATCCTCTGTTCCTCGCCTATTTATCCCTGCCTTCCTTCAGCCAGTGACAACCACTGATCTTTTGACTGTCTCCTTCGTTTTGCCTTTTCTAGAATGTCATATAGTTGGATTCATTCAGTATATAGCCTTTTCAGATTGGCTTCTTTCACTGAGCAATATGCATTTACCTTTCTTCCATGTCATTCTATGGCTTGTTAGCTCATTTCTTTTTAGTGTAGAATAATATTCTGTTATCTGGATGTACCACAGTTTATCTACCCATTTACCTACTAAAAGACATTTAGATTGCTTCCAAGTTTTGGCAATTATTAGTAGAGCTGCTATAAATATCTGTGTGCATGTTTTTGTGTAGACAGTTCATTTGGGTAAATATCAAGAGCACAATTGTTGGAGCATATGGTAAGGATATGTTTAGTTTTATAAGCTGCTAATCTGTCTTCCAAAGCAGCTGTACCATTTTGCATTCCCATTAGCAATAAATAGGAGTTCCTATTACTATAAATCCTCACTACATTTGGTATTGTCAGTGTTGTGGATTTTGGCCATCGTAATAGTTTGCTTTAATTTGCAATTCTCTTATGACATATGTTGAACATTTTTTATACTTGTTTTTTATACTTGCTATCTGTATCTCTTGGTGAGATGTCTGTTAAGGTTTGGTACATTTTTGAATCAGGTTGTTTCCTTATTGTTGAGTTTTAAGGGTTCTTTGTATATTTTGGATAGTAGTCCTTTAATAGAGGTGTCTTTTGCAAATATTTTATCCTAGTCTGTGGCTTGTTTTCTCATTTTGTTGACATTACCTTTCACAGAAAAACGTTTTTTAAAATTTTAATGAAATCTAGCTTATCGGTTATTTCGTTTAGGGATCATGCCTTTGGTGTAGTATCTAAAAAGTCATCACTGTACTCAAGTTCATTTCCATTTTCTCCTATGTTATTTTCTAGGAGTTTTATAATTTTACATTTCACATTTAGGTCTGTGATCCATTTTGAGTTAAATTTGTAAAGGTTTGGTGGTCTGTGTCTAGATTCATTTTTTTACACGTGGATGTCCAGTTGTTCTAGCACCATTTGTTGAAATACTATCTTTGCTGCATTGTACTCTTTGCTTCTTTTTCAAAGATTAGTTGACTATTTTTGTGAGCTAATTTATCTGTTCTTTCACCAATACCACATTGTCTTGGTTACTATAGCTTTGTAGTAAATCTTAAAGTTGAATAGTGTCAGTCCTCCAACTTTGTTACTCTCCTTCAGTACTGAGTTGGCTAATCTGCCTCTCCATATACACTTTAGAAACAGTTTGTCAATATCCACAAAATAACTTGCTGGGATTTTGATTAGGATTGTGTTGAAACTAGTCAAGTCGGGAAAAGTTGAAATTTTGATAGTACTGAGTCTTCCTGTCCATGAACGTGGAACATCTCACCATTTACTTAGTTTTTTTTTTTTTTTTGATATCTCTCGTCAGAGTTTTGTAGTTTTTCTCATATAACTCTTGTACTTATTTTATTGGACTTATCCATAATTATTTTTTATATTTCATTTTTAGGTGCTAATTAAATACTAATTTTTAAAAGATTTATTTATTTATTAGAGAGAGAGTGTGCACGCAAGCGTGAGCATGTGATGGGGATGGGTAGAGGGAGAGAAAAATCTTAAGCAGACTTCACACTCAGCACGGAGCCCAATGCGGGGCTCGGTCTCATGACCCTGAGATCATGACCTAGCTGAAACCAAGAGTTGGATGCTTAACTGTGCCACCCAGGCTCCCCTTAAATAGTGATGTTTTAACTTCAAGTTCCAGTTCATTGCTGATATATAGGAAAGTGATTAATGTTTGTATATTTACCTTGTACCCTGCAGTCTTGCTGTAATTGCTTATTAGGGTTTTTTTATTGTTGATTCTTTTGGATTTTCTACATAGACAAACATATCATCTGTGAACAAAGACTGTCTTATTCCTTTCTTCCTAACCTATATTCCTTTTATTTCCTTTTCTTGTTTCATTAATTAGCTAGAACTTCCAGTATAATGTTGCAAAGCAGTGGTGAGAGGGAACATCCTTACCTTATTAATGATTTTAGCAAGAAAGCTTCAAGTTTCTCTCTATTAACTATAACATTAACTTGGTTTTTTTGTAGATGTTCTTCATCAAATGGAAGAAGTTTCTCTCTATTCCTAGTTTGCTGAGAGTTTTTTTTTTTTTTTTTTAAGGTTCTCTGAGCACCTTTTATGTAGTTTGAATTCTAGGTTGGTTGGGCTTTTTTTTTTTTTTTTCCTTCTCAACACTTCAATTATTTTATTCTATTCTCTTCCTACTTGCATGGTTTCTGAGGAGAAATCAGACGTGATTCTTATCTTTGCTCCTCTACAGGTAAAGTGGGGTTTTTTTTCCTCTTTTTCTGAGATTTTTTTTTTTAAGCTTTCATTTTTTTGTAGTTTGAATATGATACGCCTAAGTGTAAGCAAATGAATAGAGAAAGATATATCATGATAATACTAATCAAAAGAAAACAGGGGTAGCTATATTAATTTCAGACAGAACAGACTTCAAAATAAGCAAAGTTATCAGGGATAAAGAGGGGCATTATATAATCAAAAAGGGGTCAATACTTCAAGAAAACATAATCTCTCACGTGCATATGCCTAACAACAGAGTATCAAAACAAGGAAGGCAAACTGAAAGAGCTGTAAAGAGAATTAGGTGAATCTACTATTATAGTTGGAGACTTTAAACATCCCTTTATCAGAAATGGACAGACCTAGCAGGCAGAACACCAATAAGAACATAGTGGAAGTCAACAGCACTATTAGTCAATTGGATATAATGGGCATCTATAGACTACTTCATCTAACAGCAGCAGATTACACATTCTTCTCAAGATCACATGGAACAGTACCAAGATAGACCAATTCTGGACCAAAAAATACCCTTAACAAATTTAAAAAAAAATAAGAAACCATACAATCTCTGCTCTCAGACAACAATGGAATTAAATTCAAAATCAATGACAGGGTGCCTGGGTGGCTCAGTAGGTTGAGCGTCTGTCTGACTTCGGCTCAGGTCATAATCTCAGGATCCTGGCATTGAGCCCTGTGTCATGCTCCCCACTCAGCAAGGAACCTGCTTATCCCTCTCCCTCTGCTCCTATCCCTGCTCATGCTCTCACTCTCAAGTAAATAAAATCTTGGATATTCTGTTCTGATTATATCCTCAAATTCAGAGATTCTTTCCTCAGCTTTTCTCAGTCTACTAATGAGCACATCAAAGGCATTCTTAATTTGTTGTTTTTGACTTACAGCATTTCTTTTTCATTTTTTTAATTTACATCTCTCTTCCGTTGTTCATCTGTTCTTGCATGTTGTCTGCTTTTTTCCATTAATGCCTTTAGCATTACAGTTTTTAAAAATTCCTGGTCTGATCATTTCTGACGTATCTGACTGTGGTTCTGATACTTGTTCAGTCTCTTCAGACTGTGTTTTTGCCTTTTAGTGTGTCTCGTATTTTTTTCTTGAAAGGTAGACATAAAGTACTGGGTAAAAGGAATTGTGGTAAATAAGCGTATAGTGATGGGATGGTAAGATGTAGGGGAGGAAGTGTTTTATAGACCGATGATTAGGTCTCAGTCTCTTGGTGAGCCTGTGCCCCAGGGCTATGAACTTCACCAATGTTTTTCAGTTCATCCCCTCCTGCAGGGTATTTCTCTTCCCCCAGTTAGGTTGGAATCTGGTAAAATAGTTTCTCCTGAAGCTAGGCCTTGTTAAGAACAGAGTGCTCTGGCATATTTCAAAATGGTTAGTTCTCCCCCGCTCCTTCCAGAAGCAGGAGGGAATTTTTCGCCTGTATTCACCCCTTAGAGCTCCTAGAGGTAAAACTCAAAAGTTATGACTTGGTCCCTCTGGAGTTTTTAACTCAGACTAGTCCACCCTGAGCCTCCAGCAATTTGTCAATTTCAGTTTTTGTTTTCCTTTTCTGGTACCAGTTCCCGGGGATGTATCTGTTGGTGGGTTTCTGCTCTGAGAAGTTATGATTCTCTCTATCTGCCTTTTTCTCCAGTTTGGGGGACAGCAGTTTTGCCCTGTGACCTCAGTTCTCTGACAGATCTAAGAAGAGTTGTTGATCTTTCCATTTGTTTAGCTTTTTACCGTTGTCAGGATGGAATGGTGACTTCTAAGCTTCTTACGGGCCAGACCAGAAGCCAGAACTTGGAAATAGTTTTATTTTTATTTTTTCTTTAAAGATTTTATTTATTTATTTGAAAGAGAGAAAGAGCGCACACAAGCATGAGTGGGGGAAGGAGCAGAGGGACAAGCAGATTCAGTGCTGAGCACGGACCAGACGTGGGCTCCATCCCATGACCCTGAGATCATGACCCAAGCCAAAATCAAGAGTTGGATGCTGAACCAACTGAGCTACCCAGGCACCCCTATTTTTATTTTTATCTTTCAGCTTCAAATGTGGGAAAGTGAAATAGTGGTGGAAGGGAAAGGGGATCACCCACAATCTTGCTAACAAAGAAGGCAGCCAGTGTTATTTTGACGTTTGGCTTTCCACCCTTTTGTCAGTGTATTTTATTTTCTTTCTTTTTTTTTTTTTTATTTTATTTTCTTTATACAAGTGAGATTATAGGATTTGGCTATCATCATAAGATCCTCAAACCCAAAACTGAACCACATGTCTTCTTCCCAAGACTGTTTTCTTATGTTATCTGGATCATCTCAGCATCCACTCCCACTCGACCAGACCAGGACCTGGGAGCGGTCTCTCTCTTCCCTCACATCTACTCAGACTTTAAATCATGACAGTTACATGTTCTAAATATTTTTGGCTGTCTCTTTCTCTCTCTTCTCTTGCCCCTTCTGTGGGTCAAAGTCCTTATTGATTTATCTCTGAACTCCTGCAATAATAGAGCCTGTCTCTAGCATTATCCCCCTCAATTCTGTGCAGATGTCACTTAGGTGATCCATTTAAGATGCATCTTTGACCATGTGACTTCCCTGCTTAAAGCCTTTCAAACCCTTCAGTGGCTCCTCGTTGCCTTTCGGATAAATCCAAGCTCCTAAGCATGGCCCGTGTATCTCTCTGTGGCCACAACCCCTGCCTGCCAGATTTAGCTCCTGATACTCCCTGTCCCCTGCTTATGTTCCAGGATCACTGAATTCCTTCCAGTACCCCCTGCACCCCTTCCTTCCCACTACTGGAGATGTTTTCTTGTCTGTGCACCTCATGCAGGCTCCCTGCCCGGAGCGCCTGTTGTCTCACTCCCTTCACCTCACCAGGGCCTACTCATTTATTCAGGCAGCTCAGCTCCTCCTCCAGACCTTACTCTGACGGCTCCACACCCCTTTTCCCTAAGCTGGGTTTCTGGGTACAAATCTCTGCCATTATATCTCCTTCCATTCATTGATTCATTACACCAGCTAATCAACAACATTTGTGTGAGGCAGAATTTTAAGCACTGGGATATAGCAGATGATTTTTAAAAGTTCCTTCCCTAACAGAGCTTACATTCCAGTGAAGGGAGATAGATGATAATAAGTAAAAATATATGTCAGTAGGTGATAGTGCTGTGATGATAGAGTAAGAGGGATGGAATGTTCTGAGGTTGGAGAGGAGGCTGGTATTTAAAGGACATGGTCAGGGGAGCCCTCAGTAATGATGTGGCCTTAGAGCAGAGACCTGCTGGAAGGGAGAGTGAGCCATGCACACGTGTGGAGACACCTGTAGATGAACATCTACAGACTGTTCCATGATCGGTAAGGAAGGCAGTGTGCTTAGGGCCGAATGGGTAAGGGGGAGGGTAGTAGAAGGTGGCGTAGAGAGTTAATGCCAACCAGCTTATGAGGGCGGTGTAGGCCATTAGAAGAACTTTGGCTTTTTGCATTTACTCTGAGACCAGAAGCCAGGGAGGCTTCTATGCAAAGAAGGGACAAGCTCTGGCTGCATGCCAAAAAGAGCCCTCTGACTCCTGGATTGAGGTAGGGTGGCGTAGGGGTGGGGCTAGAAAGGGGCAGGGGTGTGGAGACCAGTTAGAGGAGACTGCTGCAATAGGCCAGATCCAAAGTGATGGACGCTTAGACTGACGAGCGCAGAGCCAGTGGAGGCAGCAGGAAGTGATTGGGTTTGGGGTATATTTTGAAGGTAGAGCCAACAGGATTTATAAAGGATTGGATAAGGAGTATAAGAAAAACCCTGGAGTCAAGGATGACTTCTAGAAAGACAAAATTGCTGTGGAGTAGGAAGATGGCAGGAGAGTTTTGGATATAAGTTTAAGCCACCCATCAGGCCTCTGATCGGAGACGCTGAATGGGTAGCTGGAGGTGTGCATCTGGACTCCAGAGGAGAGGCCCGAGCTCAGGATGTCAGCCTGCAAGCTGTCAGCATTCGTTGACATTTCAAAGGTGTGGAATCGGATGAGACAGAAGACGAAAGGGGAGATGACTGAGTCCTGGAGCATTCCAAACTGTAAAGGCCAACATGATGCAGAGGACCCAGCAAAGGATGCTGGGAAGACGTGGCTCGGGAGGTCACGGGAGAACCAGAGAGAGCAGGAGCGAGCGAAACATGTGTTTGAAGCGGGAGGGAGTGACGACCTGTGTGCGTGTTGCAGATAAGTCAAATGAGATGAGGACATTGTGTTGCAGATCTGTTTATATAGTTGCCTCCTTCCGTTGGCTGAGAATTCACTGGAAGCAGGAACGCATCCAGCAGTGTATTATCTACAGTCCTGAAGTGGGTGATATACAAACGCCATTTAACGGCTCCTTTGCCTCAGGCTGGTTGTCTCAGTACCTCTAAGCTTCAGTCTCATCTGTAAAATGGGGAAGGTGTGGTATCTTTTCCATTGAGTCATCATGAGGATCCAGTGAGACTGTCCAGATGAAGCACGAAGCATAATCCCTTTCATAGCATTACGCCCGTGACGCTCTCGTCAGCGTTATTAATCTAGCGTCCCTGGCGCAGCGCCCCTCCTGTTGAGCAACATTGGGCGAACGCATGTGTGAGTTGACTGTTTGTTTGAATATTTCATTCAAGGTCTTTCCCTGTGTGCTTGTGATATATTAATATAGCACTTTTGGGGTTTCTCTAGGAGACAGCACTGATCCTCACAGAGTGGGTTCTGGAAGAAGAGAGGGCGAGAAGTCCTCGGGAGCAGAGAGGAGGCGATGGAGCTCCCCAACTACAGCCGGCAGCTGCTGCAGCAGCTCTACACTCTGTGCAAGGAGCAGCAATTCTGTGACTGCACCATTTCCATCGGTGCCATTTACTTCAGGGCCCACAAGCTCGTCCTGGCTGCGGCCAGCCTCCTGTTCAAAACCCTGCTGGACAACACAGACACCATCTCCATCGATGCGTCTGTGGTGAGCCCCGAGGAGTTTGCCCTCTTGTTAGAAATGATGTACACTGGCAAACTACCCGTGGGCAAGCACAACTTCTCCAAAATCATCTCTCTGGCCGACAGCCTCCAGATGTTTGATGTGGCCGTTAGTTGTAAAAATCTTCTGACCAGCCTTGTGAACTGCTCTGTTCAGGGTCAGGTGGTAAGGGATGTCTCCGTACCATCCTCAGAGGCATTCAGGAAGGAACCGGAGAAGCCTGAAGTAGAAATCCTTGCCTCTGAGGGCGCTGCAGAGTCTCGTCCTTCCCTGGAGGCTTCTGCCCCTCTAGGGGGCCCTGTGAAAGCCGAGACTGAGGACGCAGAGATGAGTATGGGGCCTTCCAGTGCCCAGGAGATGCAGGGGAACATAGATACCCCAGTGGAGACTCCTCATCCATCTGAAGTTTGTTCCCCCTCTCCTGCTGTACAAGCCTTTAGAGAGGCAAAGGGGGCAAGCACAGAGCCAGGTAATCTTCATTTAATAGTTCTTTTATAATCTGTCCTTCTATTGTCAATTACTACATCCAGTGATCTTTATGAATTTTTTTTGTTTCAATGATAAATTTACTAAAATCCACTGCTAGATAGGAAACCAAAATCCAGTCCAATCCAACACAGAATCCAAAGCAAAACTCCCACTGGGGTATTCTTCTTCTTTTTTTTTTAAGATTTTATTTTTTTTAAGTCATCTCTGTACCCAACATGGAGCTTGAACCCATAACCCTGAGATCACAAGTCGCATGCTCCCCCAGCTGAGCCAGCCAAGCACCCCAAGGGGGCATTCTTCTTTTTTTAAAGTGTCTGTGTTTTTGAGTGATGGAAGGCTGAGGATGAGCTACGGAGCAGAAAAGCAATACTAAAATAACAATGTACCGGGGAGGGGGGTGGGAGGATGGGTTGGTCTGGTGGTGGGTGTTGAGGAGGGCACGTTCTGCATGGAGCACTGGGTGTTGTGCACGAACAATGAATCATGGAACACTTCATCTAGAACTAATGATGTAATGTATGGGGATTAACATAAGAATAAAAAAAAAAAATAACAATGTACCAGCGGTGTTTTTGTTTTGAGAAAGAGAGAAAGAAAAAGAGAGCGAGTGGGGAGGGGCAGAGTGAGATGGGGAGAGAGAATCCCAAGCAGGCTCCATGTCCAGTGAGGAGCCTGACTCAGGGCTTGGTCTCACGACCCTGAGATCACGACCTGAGCCGAAATCAAGAGTCGGATACTTAACCTACTGAGTCACCTAAGCACCTCCGATATACCAGTTTTGTTGCTTACCCATTATTCTAACCAGGATGAGGACGGCACAGAGGAGGAAGCTGGTAGGGACACTGTTTTCTGTTACCCACAACTGATGTGCTAGGTGTCAGTTATAAATGCAGCATACGACCTAAAGGTTGTCAGCTTAGACTTTTAAAAATCATCTCAAGTAATGAATCACTGATATTTTTTTTTTATTTTGTTTTGTACTCAGAGTATGAGAGGAAACACCATCAGCTGAATTTTCTTCTAGAGAATGAAAGTGTCTTCTCTGATGCACTCTTGGTTACCCAGGATGTTTTAAAAAGACTAGAAGAATGTTCGGAAATTAAAGGTGCACAGGAGGAGGTAGGTACCATGAGTTTTATTTGTTTGCGGATGTAGTGTTCTCTGGATGCCAGACCAGCTTCCCATACGGGGCAGAACTATGAAAATGCAAAATACTCCAGGGTCTTAGTTTTTTCAAACTTTAATTTTTTTTTTAAAGATTTTATTTATTTATTTGTCAGAGAGAGAGAAAGAGAGCACAAGCAGGGGGAGCGGCAGGCAGAGGGAGAAGCAGGCTCCCCGCCGAGCAAGGAGCCCGATGCAGGACTCGATCCCAGGACCCTGGGATCATGACCTGAGCCAAAGGCAGACACTTAACTGACTGAGCCACCCAGGCATCCCTCAAACTTTAATTTTTTTTTGATATTTATTTTCTAAAGGGCAGTCTTGCAAAAGTACTAGGCAAGATGCTTTCAAAACTAAGTTATATTCTGATCACCAGGCTTACAACCAGTTTTGATCCAGGATACTTAACTGATCATACCGTTTCCTCCTGATTAATCAGGATAAAATGAGGCAGAAAGTAGTCATGGATAACCCCAAATCAAGACTGAATGATAAAAACCAGAGCAGAACAATAAGAAATACTCAAAACAAGGTATGAAATGGACTTAATGTAAACCTTACATAGTAAATTGCATCCAATGTTTAAGAATACAGTGGCCATTTTCTGACATAAAACCACTAACGGTGAACATTTATTGAATACTTACCTTGCTATGCTTGGCACACACGTTACCACATTTAATTCTCACAAAAATCACCAGGGTGGGTACTATTTTACTATTTTTTAGCCCCGTTTTACAGATGAGAAAAATGGTTTCAGGTATATAACTTGGCCAAGGCCGCAGAGCTTGTAGGACTGAGCAAGAATTCAAACTCAAGCATTCTGACTTTAGAGCGGTTCCCTTGCACACTGGGTTTTACTGCCAGTAGGGGAAAATGATACATGTATGTCATGTATGTAGAAGTGTTTAGGAACGGCCCAACAACGGCCCAGTGGTTATCAAGCTCTTATTTCTTAAATAACTGGCCTTTTCTTTCTTTCAATATCTCAGTGAGACGCATCCCCACAGGTGGGCTTCCTCACTGCCTGACTTCCCATCCCTTGAACGTCCACAGCCACTTTAGAACTCTTGCTTCGCCTTTCCCCCAGCTGTGTGTCCCGTGCTGAGCGGGGCTGGCAGAGCCGGTGGGCACTGTCCCCACAGGCTTGCTCATCTGCGTGGTGGGAGGCCTCCCATGTCGCTGTAGGCAATTGCATGACTGTTAGTTACCTTCATCCAAGCAGTGAATGCCTTTCTACTATGTAAGTATTTCCCAGATTCATAGCAAGTGACTTTAAAACAGCAACAACAACAATTCAAGGTCAGGTATTTCTTTTAACCATGGTTAATTGACAGTTGACTGTAAATTACTTTCTTGAAAGAACAGCTTTTCATAACACTGGGTTAACCCCAATGACTCTGTTAGGGAGGTGACAAGTTGTAAAACCTTGATATTCTTTATACCGATAATGCTGAAGGACATTATGGTTTTATATTTTTGCACGTGGATGTTCTCTTAACTGTTCAATCTATCGTTTTTGTTACAAGTTTGTTACCTGGATGGCTTAGAGACACACCTCTTCATTTTCCCTCTTGGGACTTCCTCTCTACTTAATTCTGGTGCCCGAGGAGCAGCAGCATAGATCAGCAGTACTCAGATTATTAGGGTTGCCTGGATACTCACTTGAACTGTGTGTTAAGCATTTTTTTTTCTAATGCTGATACCTAAAAGTGTCTGGCAAATAACAAGTGCTCAGGGGCGCCTGGGTGGCTCAGCTGGTTGAGCGTCGGTCTTCAGCTCAGGTCATGATCTCAGGGTCCTGGGATCGAGTCCCGCATCGGGCTCCCTGCTCAGTGCAGAGCCTGATTCTCCCTCTCCCTCTGCTTGTGCTCTTCTATCTCTCTGTCAAATAAATAAATGAAATCTTTAAAAAATAAATAAATAAATAGCAAGTGCTCAAGAAATTTTTGCTGTACATGGTTTCATCCAACATTTTTTTCCCCTCCCAATTCTTGTCCTAATCTTTTGGTGACAATAACATTAGTAGTACTTAGAAAGAACACTGATTCACTGTTGGGGATCATTATAGGCTTATGTTATTTCTTCCTCGGTTTTAGAGGTCAGAGTAAGAGCTCTACAAATCACTTGGTGGTGGTATTTAAAACTGATTCTGTTATATTCCATAATAAGCCTTTCAGCTGTAGAAAGAAAGAAAAAATGTTTGAAGAGCATAAGCTTCCATTAAATAAAGTATATAGAGTTGGTAAAGTACTGCTTTGTACTCAGGCCCTGTGCTTCTCTTTCTCTTTTTAACTTTCTTTTAGATCAGTTTATTAAGGTATGATTGACATACAGCAAGCTGTATGTATTTAAAGTGTACAGTTTGATAAGCTTTAAAACCTGAAGCCATCACCACAAGCAAGATATGAACATATCCACCACCCCTAAGTTTCCTTATGCCCTTGGTAATCCCTCCCTCCTACCCCTTTCAACCTGCCCATCTCCAGGTGACACTGACCTGCTCTCTCTCTGTGGATGAATTTGCATTTTCTAGAGTATTATATATGAAGGGAGTCATACAGTCTATATTCTTTTTGGTCCGGCTTCTTGCATTCAGCATAATTCTTCTGAGGTTTATTCATGTTGTTGCATATTTATTCCTTTTTATGCCTGAGCAGAGTTCCATTTAGTGGATATACAATTAGTTATTCAGCTCTACCATTTGCTAGTGTTGTGACCTCAAACAACTTAATCTCTGTAAGCTTTAATTTCCTAATTTGTAAAATGGGAATGTTGTCACCTACATCACAGGATCATTGTGAAATTAATAAAGATTATTGATGGAAAACTCACATTAAAATGCCAGGCACAGAGAAGGAGCTCAATTGGTGGTGACTGCTATTGTTTGTTTATACGTTAACTTTGTATTTTTAGACTTAGCTGACCTTGAAACCCCCTTTTTACTTAATGCCTTATAATATCCTAGTGCCATGGTCATCTGTTCTGACACATGAGATGGATTGCTGTTACTTTAAGCTTAATTTGTAAGTCATGCTTTCAAATAGGGACCATTACCCATTTGGAAGTACCTTCCTGAACTGAAGGGGTAGTGTCTGGTACAAAGCCATCAGTCTCTAGAACAGTGGTGCAGTGTATATAAAAATCATCCAGTGCACTTGTTAAAATGTACATCTCATTTCCAGAGAGTCTGATTCTTAGGTTGTGGTAGAGCTTGGGGATCTACATCTTTAACAAGCTCCCCGTGTTGCTGTTTTGGTATCAGTAGACCACATTTCTGGGAAGCACTGCTAGAGAAGTTAATGGCTTGCACAGTTCTTAGTGTATGATGGCAGATGTCACAGTGTCTGTGCTGACACCTCAGTGTTTTGAGGGGCCACCGAGTACACATTTTTCCCAAGTGTTATTCTTTGCTTACCCCTTGATTCAGCAAATATTTACTGAGCATCTGGTGTGTGCCAGGCATTGAGCTGGTTGCTAGGAAAATACATATAAATAAAACTGGATCCCTATCCCTGTAGAGTGTCTTGACAGCAGAGAAGTCCTGCCACATATGTAATTATTTTTTTGGAGTCACCAAACTATGGGAATCCCCAAAAGGCTTCAGTACTGAAAGCATTTGCAAACTGTTCACTTGGAATATCAGTCTGCATTTCAGCTCCAATTGTAAAGGCTGGGGGTTTGTTTGTTGTTTTTCTGTTTAAAGAGTTTTAGCTCCCAAGGAGCTTTGAATGCTTTTTGTTGCTGTTATGTGGTTAATCGGCACAACATTAAAAAGACAACTTAATGTTAAAAATGATCTGTGCTTAGATGTGAAATTTGGAGGCTTGTGAAGGCCTGTGAGTGTTCTGGTTGAGATGGACCAGCCTGTTCCTTTTCTGAAACACAGATACAAGGTGTGCACCTGGCCTGGACCGCCCCGAGTTTCAGGAGGACACCACGAACTAATTAGTGTCCTGCTTATTTTATTTCCTGAGATAAATGTTGAAAGGTGGCAAAGCCATTCCCTGAACAGTGATTGCAGCAACATGGGACGAGGCTGGGCCGCTTGGATTGTGTGAAACCAAAGCCAGAACTGATTAAGGAGAAATCTCTTGGGTGCTGGGATGGGAAAGTGGCTTCTGCCCATCTTTATCTCGGTGTAATATCCCTACCCATTAGAGAAAGCAGATACTGACCTAACAGGCTTTCTGGCTGAGCTGAGCAAATCCTGTGTTTAAAGGCAAGCTCATAATTTTTTTTAGCTTTTATGCAGGAACTTTTAATTGTCTTCTTTCTTTATTCCTAGCCATGTTCCTGCTTTTAATTAATTGTGTATGTAGCAAAGCGAATCTTTGACTAGAATAAAGAGATAACTTCTACTATTGATTTCCTTGCTGTTTGATCCACTTTCCACCTAAAGTTCTAGAAAGATTCCCAAAGCTTAAGGCCTAGTAGCTTTTTTTTCTCTTTCAACTTTGTTTCAAAGGCAAACAAGTCTCCTCTCCTATGTGAATCTGATGTTTTCAACCATGTCACCACTTTGGAGATTTGTCAAGAAGTGCAGGTCTGTGTTTTGTGGACTGTGTTCACTGACAGTGTAGGGTTCATTTTACAGGTCTATGAGAAATGGAAGTAAGTTGTTGTTTTGCCATATCTTCTCTGTGCTAATTATGAAGTCTAAGATAATGCAGCCATTGGTAGAAAGGCTATTGGTTTTATGGCAAGGGAATATGGCAAGATATTCATTTGGTTAAACAAATATTTATGAAGCATCTACTGTGTACCAGTCTGTATACAAATCACTGGGACCAGGAGGAATTGTACAGATTGTCTAGCTATGACCCAGTGTTCAACATGATGTTGACTCTAGTAAGTCCAGGAGAATGCAGTGTAAATGGATTTGGTTACACTCAAAAACTAGGGGTGGGAACTGGTGAAAGGGGTGCTGAGTCACTGGAATAAGCTCAGGGTTTCTTCCCTGGTACTCTACTTACTGGCCACGCAACCTCAGGCAAGTTACTTCACCTCTCTCTCATTTAAGTAGTTGTGGTAATAATGCCTCCTAGGACTGATGTGAGGAGTTAAGTAGATGGCGCATACACACAGTGTCTGGGATGATGTCGAGCTCTTGTGGTCTATGTGATGAGTGCCATCATCTGGCCCTTGGCATTCAGGGGAGACATGGGTGAGTAAGAACACAGCATAACTCAAACAAATCCAAAGGCAGTAGGCAGACAGTTGGGAAAATAAGTAAATTCAATTAAAAGACCTTAGTGTAAGGCAAAGCTTAAATTTTAAAAGGAAAGGAAACTGTCCCATCTTTAAATATATTGACCTATAGTTCATTCATAAATCAAAGTATGTTGATTACATGTGTGACCATAATTTGGTATGAATTTATTGAAGTACCTTTAACTCTAAGAATCAAAGGAATTCCAAATGTTTGTTTAAAGAGCAAAACTCTGTTTTGGGCTCATGTCTTAGAGTTCTGTTACATGGTAGCAGTCAGTGAACCTTAGTCTGCCACAATATGGGACGCCCTCTGTTTAGGCAGATACACTACTTCAGAAAAGGGCTCACTGCACGGAGGAGCCCCAGGCAGCTTAGGGGGCTGATGGAATAACAGTTAAAACGCTAGCTCTGGTGCCAGGTCCCCAGTAGGTTCTGGAAGAAAGAGCAAAGAGCAGGGCTGTCCAGGCAGCTGACTGCTCCCTCTGGCCCTTTCAACCTCTCACCCCTGCTCCTCTTCCCAGATGGTCACACCCTAGTGTCACTGCTGAGCAATGAAGTTAACAAATGTTTTAATTTCACTGCTGAGCAGTTCTGCAGAGGAGGAGACAGCAGAGAGGATAATGAGAAGTGCATCAGATGCCACCATTGATGAAAGCGCCTCTTCCCCACCGGCTCAAATGATAATGCCAGACAAATTGGATACTGAGATTCAAGAGAGCTTCAGGTGAAAGCACACTGGCCTAGGATAGAAGACGGCTAAATGCTGTGTCCGTTAAGATGCATCGAAGAAAAGGGGGAAGGAAAGGAGAAATAAAGAGAGAAAAACATGTTTACTGAGGGCATTAGCATTGAGAAGGTCTGTATTAGGTATCTATTGCCGAATAACAAATTACCCTAACATTTAGCAGTTTAAAAGAACACACACTTATTACCTCACCATTTCTGTGGGTCAGGTATCTAGGCATCCTTCGCAGAGTCCCTGGCTCAAGGTCCAAGACAAGGCTGCAGACAGCTCAGCCTTGAGTGGAGGAGGGTGAGGGTGGGGTGGGGATGGGGAGTGTCTCCTTCTAAGTGCACTCATGTGACTGTTGGCAGGATTCTGAAGTTTCACTTCCAAGCTCACTCACTGATTGTTGGCCAGAGACATCCTTTCCCTGCCACGTGGGCCTCTCTGTAGGGCAGCTCACAACATGGCAGCTTGCCTCCAGAGCGAAGGCAGAGAGTGCCCACATGGACAAGAGGGAAGTCAGGGTGACTGAGCCTCAGAAGTGCCCTCCATTACTTTTGCCATATGCTTTTCCTTGGAAGCACGACATCAGGTTCAGCCCAAGGGCATGAATACCTGGTGGCAGGGATGTTAGGAACCATTTCGAGGCTGCCTACCACAGGTCCCTACTGCTGTCAGGGAAAAGGCATTCCTTAAAGAGATTTTAGAGTGACTAAAAAGAGCATGGAAGGTTGAATGAATATGACTGAAAGCGAGTAAGCATTCAGCTGAGTTGGTATTTCATTTGTTTATTATTTTCAAAATGTAGACAAGATGAGTTACTCAGGTTCATGGAAGTTACTTAATTTAGTTAATGTGTATTCCAAAACTGGGCTTTATCTGAATTTACTTTTGTATATGACTAAAAATCACAGGAGCCTTTTTTTTTTTTTTTAAGTTTAACTTGGCTTTATATGTTCATTCTGTGATCAGGAAGCAAGCTTAAGCAAAGCCAAGAAACACAGTCTAACTTGTTCATAATTTCTGTTTATTTGGGAGGAGGAGAGAAAGATAAAAATCTCTCTAAACAAAAATTTTAAACCTATAATTACTACCAGAATTTATAATAACTGTCTAGCTGAACTTTGCAAGTATAGATATTCATGAGATCCTTTCATGTTGTATGTGTGTGTGTGGTATATGTACAGAAAACCATGACTTTTTGCTTTCTTGTGAGGAAACTCTTCTTTTATAGTATTGACACTAAAAAACATCAAAGGTAGGTTGTAGTTTTGCCAAGTAGAAATATAAAGGCTATGCACATAAAATAAACTTTTGGTTCCAGATTTTTTTAGAATAAATTTATTATTGCTAAAATAGAAATATTAACCCTTCCTTCCAGTTGGCCTTCCTCCCACTAATTTTGTTTATTTCACCACTGGAGTTGCTGATATTTTAGTACTCCAGGGTTAGAAGAGTCCAGATGGTGGCATGTGGTGCCAAGACCTCTGGAGGATAAGGCATTTCTAGTAGAAACTGTGTGGCTCTAGATTTAAACAGAAAGCTTAACATTAGGGAGCTAGTTTTCAGGGTTATCGGCCTAGAGGTGATATGAAAGCTGTATATGTAAGAGTTTTTCCAAAGGGAGATCATACAGGAGAAAAAATAGAGTTGGGATCAGTTTTCGGTACTGCTTATGGTTAGGGATTTGGAAGGAGAACCAGTGAGGAAGGCCGAGTAGGAGGGATCAGAAAGGTGGGTGCTTATCCATCCTGACTGCTTCAGTGTTCTGAAGTCAGAAGAGCCGTGATACAGAAGCCATCGGAATGCCAAATACCACGAAAGGCCAAAGAGGCAGGGATCAAATTGTTGAGGGCCTCACTCACCAAATCCAAGGAGCATGGGGTTCTTGTGGCTGGCTGATCTCTCTTTCCGGTTACTTGTGTCCACAGACTATAATGGGATGTCTTGAGGGTGAAGAAGGACACTCGGCATTCCAGAGAATCCTGGATAAAGTAAGAGATGAGAGCCTGGATGTTCAGACTGTCGTGTCACTCTTGAAGCTGTACCAAGATTCCAATCCTGCAGTAAAGGCAGCACTGTTAGACAGAAAACCAGATGTCGACATGGTGCAGCCAGAAGGTAGGAGAAAACCCTGTCCACCTGGGTGGCTTGAGTTTTATTCTGGGAAGGTGCTGTCAAGTTTGCTCCGGTGATACGTTTCCTCAGCGGCTTAATTATCATTAAGTGATTTTCACATCAGTTCTACACATAATTCCAGAAGCTGCCTGTTGAATATATACAAGCTAAATTTGAGTCTCCATTCCTCTCCCCTAGTTAACTAGTCTGACACCTTGAAGTTGGAGAGGATCATCAGTGTTCTCCTGCCCTTCACAAGCCACACATCCCGGGTGATGTTTTGAGTGCCCAGGGTGAACTGGTTTGCCGGCAGCACCGATGGCTGAAGTTTCTCTCGTTTGGGTTATAGGTGCAAAGCAGTGGCCTTGCCAACCGGAAGTTAACCTCTGCCTGGCTCTGCAGCTTTGTGTTTCGCCAGATAAATGAAACATTTTTCCTTTCATAGCGTTTAAACAGAATAATAAAGTATTTTCCTCTCCAGAAAGAGATTCTGCATTTGGGTGCTCAAAATAGGCTGAGAATCACTTTACTATTCTGTTAGATCTCTCTTGACAAACCGTGCTGTCATCTTCTTCAAATTGACTAGCTTCTCCTGTGCGTCTCTCACACTCTCTCTTCCCCCAGGGAGCACAGAGGAGGGAAAGACCTTGTCTGCTCTGTTACTAGAACACAAAGAGGACCTGATCCAGTGTGTCACACAGCTGAGACCTATCCTGGAGTTCCTGGAAACAGCCAAGGAGGAATTCCTGACTGGCACTGAGAAAAGGGTAACTGCGGTGTCAAGCATCCCTTCCTCCTTCCTGAGTTTATGTAGCGCTTTTTTTAACCTCCTTTGTGGCCCATAGCACTTTTTCCCTTGCAGTGTTTTTATACCTACTGCATAGTAAGCACCTAGATATTCACATTCTTGAACCGTGTCTCTTTGTACCCTTGGCAGCAGCTGGCTGAGGGGCTTACACATTGTGTCGTATGACGAAATGTTTAGATATGTGGATAGGGTGGGGATAGTCCTGCTCTGACTCAATGAGTTGTTAATGTAAAACAGTTGCCCCAGGAGTGAAAACGTTTAGGCACATTTGTAACTATAATTTTGGCACTTTTCTTTTTTACAGAAACGATACACTGTTCACCTGTAGGAAAAATTGGGGAAACAAGCAAAAAGAAAAAAAAATCTCTCGCCATCTCACCACTCAGAGATGATCATTGCTGACATTTTAGAGCATGTGCTCCCACTTTTTCTCGTTTGAGTCATCCTGGGATAGGCTTATGCAGAATAACTTTGGGTTTTTTATTTAATGTATTGTGAATATATTTCCATACTATAGTATGGGCTTTGGTAGCTGCGTTGTATTTTGTTTAATGAACATACCATAATTCGTTAGTTGTTTGTTGTTGCACATTTGTTTCCAACTTTCTGCCATAATAAATGATGTAGAGAACATCCTTGCACACAAGTCTTTGCATACTTCTCAAACTATTTCCTTCGAGTAATTTCTAAGAAGTGGAATTTTGGAATAGAGAGTATAAAATTTTTCAAGTGTTTGCTATATATTGCCAAATTGCCCTTCAGAAAGGTTGTACCAGTTTACTCTCCCACCAGCAGCTACTAAAATCCTCATGAAACTGCTGTCATGACTTCTCAAGTCAACTAGATAACTGTGTTTGTTGGTGTTATTGATTTCAACTTTGTGCTAAAAATATTTTTATATCTGGAAGGAAGGAGTAGGGACGGAGAACTTCTGTGGCATCAATTCTTAAAGCTGGGAAGTGGCTTACATGTTTGGGAGAGAAAATGTTTAGAAAGCAGTGGTAGAATGGATCAGTAGTAAAGACTGGATCCTCAATTCTCTTTTTCTCAGTGGTCATAAATTGTAGTTTTTTCATATAAAATGGGAACAATCCTTAATCTCAAAATTAGACTTTATAAATTATGTGTTCCCAAAATTATAACTCCTTTGAATTTCTTAGAGAAAGATAATATACAAAATAAGATTAAGCTTCCGGTTTCTCCTTAGGCTTAAGACCGAATGTAATTTCAGGCACTCAGTTTAAGTAAGTTGCTTATAGCTCTAGAAGTACCTGATTCCCTGTTTAGGGATTTCATTCGATTACTCATTCAAACCTTTTCCTTATTAGCTAGATTGAATGTGTCCTTTGAACTGTTTCATTTTCTTGGTAAAACAGCATTTATAGGAAGAGCCCAGACTCAGCCTCATTCTCTGCACCAAGACAGACCACAGTGTCATTTTCCTCTGTCACTTTCAGTTTACTTGACAGAAAGGACTGAAGCAGAAGAACTGTAATTAGTTACAAATCACAAAAACACCTCTTAGAATTGGGGTTCTACCAGAGCTTCATTAAGCTACTTCTTCTCATGAAAACTGAAGCGAAACAATAAACCAGGACCATAGAGGTGAATGTTGATTGAATGGCCACAGTGTGTGGGCATCACATGGAACATGCACTCGAGCCTTTTAGAACTCTCTTCTGTTACAGAATGATGCTAATCAAGGCACCACGGCCCCTATGTATACATACCCTGGGTTCTATAAGAAATGGTAAATAGAAATGTCTTTACTTCAGGATTGGAAACAGATACAAAAATAGTAATTATGACAGTTGTTAACTTACTGCTTACCGTGTGCCGAGCAGTGTGCTGAGGACCTTTTAAACGTTACTAAATTCTACCCTCACATCAACTTTATGAAGTCACGGATATTACCCTCATTTTAAATATGAGGAAACAGACACTTAGGAAGGTGAAGCAGCTCACCCAGAGACACAGCTGCTGGGCATCCATACTGGAGCTCAGACTTGGAAATACGGCACGTTCTCTTAACCGCTGTGCATACAGCTGCCTAAGGGTATCAATACCAACTATCATTTAAAGATCACGTATGTCCTAGACGTTACGTCAGGCTCTACAAATAGCAGCTTCACTTCAGAAACTCCTAATAACAAGTGTGCAAGAGTTGGTATTATTCTCTTCTTTCACAGATGAGGAAGATAAGGTTCAAAGAATGAAAGGACTCACTGAAGGTCACACCGGCTGTGCATTTTAGGACTGGGGTTCCTCCTAGGCTTGTCTGCTTTAAAGCCCCTGCCCACTCTGGACAGTATCTGGCTGCCTCATTATGTATCAGGCCATTGCTTAGGAACTAAGAGCACTGAAATCAGCATGGTTTTTAGATACAGGTGCTTTAATTTTAAATTATGATTCATTTAGTAGGAATCTAGTTATATTAGACATTAAAGAGAATGACTGTGTTCTGTATTGATGAATATGACAGCTTAATATATAATGTATGCATTCCTTTCATATATATAATATAGATACTCCTTTCATATACATGAAACTAATTTGGTTTTATAGCTAAATTTATTTTTCAATGGGAGTTAATTTGATAATGGCGTCCTCTGGCATGCTACTGTGACTGATCTGCTTGACTGTTTCTCCTGAAAGCTGGTATTTTCCCAAAGGAAAGCTCAAAATTCAGTTACTTAAGGAATCTGTAGATTATATGTGTTGAAATAACCTCCCACGTTATCTGTGCCGTAAGAGCCAAGTTATACATAGTGAGTTGTAGTACATTAGGAAATAGTTCTCTTGTAATAGGAAAATAACTATAAAATAACAGTCGTGTGTTTTATTGTTCAACCTCTTGCTGGAGCCCTGTGCCCTCCTGACTCCAGCACACCAAGGAAGAACAAGGGGGTGGAAGTGGGGGATGATGACTGGAGCCATGTGTGTGTGGAGCTGATAAGAGAGATTGAGAATACAGAAACTACAAGAAAAATTATCCAGAAATGCACTTTAAATCTATTATTTTGGAGACCAGACTAATGTGTAAATTATCTGGACATTCAAATTGCTATGAAAATTAAGTAAAAGGAAGTAAAATAACAGGATTGGCCTGAAATTGCAACCTCTTACACAATCATGTAGTTATTGAACGGAGGCTGAAAACCGCTGTAGCTGTATTCATTAATTGCCCGTCTGTTTCTCAGTCCCTGTGTCTGAACGAACCCAGTCTGAAGAACCGGGGGAGAGGTAGGCTGCCTGCGCTGCCATGTGGGCTTTGGGTAGAAATCTCACAAAATGCAAACTGGGGGGGAGGGATGGGGGGAACCACAAAGCGTCTACACAAACCTGCAGTTGAGGAGGAAGGGTTTTCACAGAACTGTTCGTTTGGAGAAAACTTGGGCTTTTTACTGACATAGCACAAGGAGGAGACTCTGGGAATATAAGCGGTGCTGGAGGCCGCGGAGGGGGACCCGGGGACAGGCGCCCCGTCCTGCTGAGAGCCTTGCTGGGTTCCCCGCGGCGCATCAGATGCATCTGGAAGTGCCAGTAACCGCTGTCTGCCCGATTGCTTGCCGCTGCAGGTGATCCTGGATTGCTGCGAGGGTGGGACACCCAAGGAGACGATGGAGAAGCTTCTGCACAGTGTGTCTGAAGATAAGACTCTGACTGCAGAGAGTTTGGTAAAACTCCTTCAGGCTGTGAAACCGACATCACCACACTTGGGCCTTCTGCTGGAGAATTTGCAGCGATTAGCCACCTCGTCAGGCACCCCAGGTATCCGTTAATTGTCGGCTCTCTGGACTGGAACCTCTCCCACAGAAAATTAGAGCTTCAACACCCTTTGGGCTCCATGCTGGGGAGATGAGGTAATGGTGAGAGATGCCCTTGTACAACAGAAAGCAGTGATTCTCAGTAGTTCTGGAGTTAAGATCTGAAATCTGAGAACGCCTCTTGTCCATCAGGCATCCCCGTGATGTTCCCGTGGTTCGGCGTTTGTGAAGGTGTGGCTTTTCCAGGGCTGGCACCTGGCACTTGGGAATGCCGAAGGAGCCAGCCGGCTCACAGAGCTCATGATTTTGACAAGCTGGGTTGATAAATCTGAACAGCCAAGACTCTGATCTTGATTTTCCCACTCCCGTGTGAGTGCTGTTTGGTTCTGGCGGTCCCCAGAATTACCCACCCCTCGTGTACCTTCAGTCTGGGGGGACGGGAGTCCCTGTCCCAGTCCTTAGAAAAATGCACCAAGTCTAGCCAGTTCTCCCCATTCCCAGAGCATTTGAGACCGAGGTGGTTTTCAGAAAAAGGGTAGTTGGAAAAGGAGAGAACTTTCTTCTAGCTTATAAAAATCATGAATACCAATACAAACTTGAACCATTTACAAAATAAAGAAGAAAACAACCTCAAACCCTTCCACTTGATTATGTCAGTACTAGCCCATTGACGTATTTGTCACATTATTTTTACAATGGTGAGATATTCTACTGTATTTTATAATTTTATAATTTCCTCTGTTTAACAGTGTCATATAAACTTTCTCCCCCACATTGCAGAAAATGCTCTATAACCCTATTTTTGAAGGCTGTGTAGTTTTCCATTATAGGGATGTATATCATGCATTACTCATGCCCTGTTTAGGGGTACATGTGGTGTAACGGTTAGGGCTATCAAGACTGCCTGATTATTTTGTAGCTGTGTGACCCTGAGCCAATGACTTAACCCTTCTGAACCTCGCTTTTTCCTCTCTGAGATGGGGGTGAGAATGGCACCCATCACATCCATTTTTGTGGCTACTGTGAGACAGTGTATGTGCAGCATTTAGCAAATCATAGGTCCTCAGTGAATATTAGATGTTCTCTTCCCCCTCCTCATCACAGGTGACACAGTGACAAATATCTTTGTACACAGACTCTTTGCCTCCAGAGCATTTCTTAAGGCATGATTCCCAGAAGCAAAGTTAACTGGGCCAAAGAGGAGAATACATTTTTAAATATCTATAAAACCAAAGGAAATGCCTGATAGTGTTTATTTTTCTTACTTTGAAATTAAATAGGACCTTTTAAAAGAGAGTAACAGATTGGCTCAAAGGGCATGAAGAACAATGGGTCAGCTTCACTACCGGAGTCTTGACTCATGCCTGCTAGTATTTTGGATTGCCACATGGATCCTTAACCTCAGGCTCGAGGAATAACATCCCTTGAATCTGTATGTCTGAATCTCTTACAAGCACGCCTTCTAATTACCTCCCTGTTGAGTAATCACTGGCTTTGCAAACCCCTGACTTTGAAAGTGTTAGTGGTTTTGTGACCCGAAGCACCAAGTGATTAAGGGTAAACCAAAGGAGATCTGAACACACGTATATGAGGCCCCAAGCCAGGAGCCGAACTTGCCTTGCAGAGGAGACAGAGCACTTGTGTGATAATGCTCTTCCTCTGTCATTTGTAACTCCCCTCATCCTCTGTAGCAGAAGCCCGTAAGGACATTTTGTTGTAGCAAACATTATTGTTTTGCTAATATCCTTGCAGTCCAAGCAAGCCCTGATGATTATGGGACCGAGCTGTTGAGGCGGTATCATGAAAACCTCTCGGAGATTTTCACAGACAACCAGATATTACTAAAAATGATCCCACACGTGAAGGGTTTAGCCCGTGGAGAAAGAGAGGTAAGAGAAAAAGAGGGGGAGAGGGAGGGAGGGTGGGTAAAATGAGAGAAGGAAAAAAGATGACATATATACATACTTTAAAAATATATTTGTATTTTACATAAATGTACACACACAGCCGTGATGAGAAATGCTAAGGGGTCCGTAGAGAAGGAGAAAAACAAGGTGATTTGATTTCTAGGGCAGAGTGATAAGTCAGAGGTTGTAATTTCTGCAGTAATAAGAAAGGCATTCAAAAGGAAGTGTGAAGAGCTTTGGCAGTTATAAAAGTCTCTCCGGTTGAGAAGTGATGCTGAGAAACCCCCAGAAGTACGTCCACTATAGCCCAGGACTCAGACTCGCAGCTCTGCAGCTGGGCTGGTGCCTAGAGGATCCCTTACATATATTTCTGTGCCACATCTTGAAGGTCATGGAGAAGCTCGTGAAACGTGACTCTGGCTCGGGTGGTTTCAGTTCTCTGATGTCAGCAGTTCTAGAAAAGCAGACTCTCTCTGCAACAGCCATTTGGCAATTGCTGCTGGTGGCTCAGGAGACCAAGACCTGCCCCCTGAACCTGCTCATGGAGGAAATACGAAGGGAATCTGGTGCCGATGCCTTCTTCCGGGCAGGTAGGCGTACCTGATCTCTGTCAGAGCCTTGTCCCCAGTGGAGAGTAGCGTCAGTCTTGCCAGAAAAGAGCAGCAGCTCTCATGGCCATCTTCCACATCCCCACCATCGGAAGTAAGGACTGATAGTTTTTTTCAAGGACATGGGAGTTTGTGCACCTCGTAAAATAAAATACGCAGGAAATAGTCTAAGCTTGTATTAATTTGCCATTTTCCCCACTCCCAGCCCCAGGAAGGAGATTGGTGAAGTGTATCCTCCCTGTGAAGAGTTGAGTTGAGAAGGGTGAAGGAAAAATGGTGCTCATAGCTTCATTCATGAGTTTTCAATCCCCCTTTCTTTCAGTGGCCAGCCCAGAAAGTGCAGCCTTGGAAGCCGTCCTGAGGCATCGCAGACTGATCCTAGAGGCCATCCAACAGGGGGTGGGACTCAAGTGCTTTACTGCAGAGGAGGAACAGCTGGTAGACGCTGTGAAGGAGGTGCGGCGGGGGAAAACCCGTTGTTCCAGAGAGTTCTACCAGGCTAATGCCCTGGATGGTCTCGTTCCTGAGGGGGGCACCAGATTATGCGGGGTGCCTTTTGCGAGCCGAGCCCCGTGCTGAGCCAACACTTCTTTGTTTTTTAATTCTCCCAACTCTGCATGGCAGGATGGTGTCATCCACATATTACAGATGAGGGAACTCAGGCTCCAAGGGGTTCAGTAACATGTCTAGGATGCTCCAGCTGGTCAGAGTTGAAGTCAGGATTTGAACCCAGGCTCATGTGACTCAAACCTAGATGTATTTCATTTGCCTAAACCTCAGTAAACTCAAGGGGAACCATGATACTGTTCCCTAACATGTTCTCAAAAGCAACTGCTTTCAGAGGAAGAAAAGTAAAGTTGGTCATATTACATACTCTGTTCCAGCGTCTAGGAAGAGCCAAGATAAACATAGATAGAACAAAGCTTTTGCCCATATGCGGTAGCAAACAGTGCCAGCTCATTTTCTGTAATGCTTCTCAGTGTGGCCAGCATCCCAGAAAAACCAGGTGGGGACAGTGGGGGGATTCATGGATGTCCAGCCCAGGATCATGGGCATCTCAAGTGGGGAAGAATTATAAAGGGACTAAAATTAGGTTCACCTGCATGTGCTTTTTAATCCAGGTAGGCGTGGAAGGTGTGCAGAAGGGCAGGTTTCTAACACTGTCCACACAGGTGACAGCGCCACCTTGGTCTGACTCTCAGATGGGAAGAAGGTGGAACATATTTCTTTGGGGCTTCACAGGAAGGATGCATCTGCTAGACTCTCTCTAGCATGCTTCCCGCTTCAGAAACGGAGCTCCTGCAGTTGATGAGTTTGAGCCTTGCTAATGAATCTCAGGCCTGCCTCCAGGGACATTAGGTTTATTTAGATAGACTTGAAAAGAGCAGAAATAAAATGTCTTCCCAAACGAAAATTCCATTTGGCCATCTGTGGATGGTTTTGCTTTATTTTCTCAGTGTACGGACTCTTTCTGCTGATAGTTCTAACATTCTGAAAGAGGATGGCTTTGAAATAAAATTCTTGGCCTCTTTAAAGCCCCTCTATTTGAACCGTCTTTAAAAAGCTGAGTTTTTTTTTCATGAAAGAAAATGTTTAAAAGGGTACATCTAAGGGTCTAAAAATGTGAAGCCACTGATCATGCAGAATTACTTCCAGACACTGAGACAATTATATATTATGAAAAATTATCTTGATCTTCAAGACAGAGCCACCAACTACCAAATCCTACAGCTTTCCAAGCTTTTAATATTAAGATCTAGAAAAGTTCTTGTGGAGACTCCTGGCTTCTGAAAAGTTGCTTCTTGTAGAAAATGCGCAGTGCTTCCTTGCTGGTACCTTCTTTGTATTTGCACGTTTGTCTTGACACGGGCCTCCCTTTTCTTTTCTTTCTTTCTTTTTTTTTCTTTTTTTAAATTTTGCCAATTTCCCTGTTCTCTGGAAAAGAGGGTTCTCCACTACATTTATCACAAGAAATGTAAACTTGTTATAGATGGAGCAGTGCCTTCCTGAAAGTAGCTTTTTTTCCCCCTAAGTTGAAAACCATGGAGAATACTGCTGATATTAACCACAAACCTTTGTCTCATGGTGTTCATTTAGATTCTGAGCATTTCCTCTGAGACAGCCAGCCCTGAAGCTTCCCTGAAAGTAGTGCTGAGCAGAGCCATGGAAAAATCTGTCCCGGCCATCGAAATATGTCACCTCCTGTGCAGCGTCCACAGATCTTTCCCAGGCCTGCAGCCTGTCATGCATGAGTTAGCATACACTGGTAAGGAACAGAGTGGGGTGGGGCTCGCAGGTTGTGTCCGTATTGGAGAGAAGAGGCAGCAGTTCTTAGAAGGGTTCGTCCGTTGCCGCCTTATTCGGTATGCTCTCAGTACCTAGACAGGTCACAAGCAGAGATGTAAACTGATGCTATGGTCATGTATCGGAAAGTAAAGGTGACAGTGGTATTACTCCAGAGTTTTAGAGGGTCCCACATAGTCTGCAGCCTTCTCTAAGAAAAGTTAGGAAGCAAAGTAGAAACGCAGAATTTCCAGAGCCATGCAGTTTTTCTCCGTCTGCAGGCTTCCTTACTCAGGAAAGTGGAGAGAGGGAAAGATGGAAGGTGAACACCAAATTTCACCGTGAAGCCAACGACAGAACAGATGCCGAGCCAGCAGAGGAAGGCTGCCAGCCTGGCAAACAGAGCGGTCAAGGCGAGACCGGTTCCTTGCCAGAGCAACAAGACAAAGACACGTCTGCCTCCCCCAACTCTGCCAAGAAGAGCTTCGTCTGTAAGGCCTGTGACAAAAGCTTCCATTTCTACTGCCGCCTGAAGGTGCACATGAAGCGCTGCCGGGTGGCCAAGAGCAAACAGGTGCAGTGTAAGGAGTGCAGCGAGACCAAGGATTCTAAGAAGGAGCTGGAAAAACATCAGCTGGAGGCCCATGGTGCAGGAGGAGAGCCCGATGTCCCGAAGAAGAAGAAGAAGAGGCTGCCGGTGACATGTGACCTCTGTGGAAGAGAATTTGCCCATGCCTCAGGTACTTTAAAGAAGGCGAAGTAATTTCAGAGGGTGAGAATTCTGGATATTGTAGTGTGGGTCCTAGGCCTTGCCTCTAGCTGTGTGCAGGAAGGGCTATGGATGGGCCTGGGAAACAGAGCAGACTCCTACAGGGGCAGGGTAATGTTTTGAGAAAAGCATGAGCTGTGGAATCAGCCCTCCGAGCTTTAATTTTCCCATCTGTTAAATAGGCACCCTGACACCACCCACTTTTTTGAATTGTTATATAAAGATTTAAGATAATATAGTTAAACACCTACGTACAAGGCCTGCAGTAGAGTTAGTAAATTGTGGCTACTATTATTTATAATAATAACCAGCTATTTAACACCTGACTCTTAGGTTTCCATGTATCGCTTATTTCTTGATAATAAACGAGTCACAGAAACCCTGGGATGTGTAGTCAAAATTGTTTACCCTTGTCCCGGATGTTGGATAAACCCAGTGAAACATAAAAGTGAGTTTTGTTTCACTGTTTCTGGGTGGTGGATCCTATTTAAGAGAGAGAGGGGAGGGGAAAGATAAACCCAGAACACTTGATGCCTGCCCCAAACAGGAGTGGGACCAAGGTGACCTCTGGAGTGCTGGGCAGTAGGCGGCTGAGCAGCATGGCTGAGTGAGGTCCCAGTGAGCATGGCCTACTGTCCTGTGGTTCATGCTGTGCTTCCTCTTGGGGTCTGGCCTCAGACAGTGCTGTTACGTGTCCTCATGCTGGAGTCCTCACGTTGATGACTGGTGTCCCTCTGGTCCCTGGCATGACTTTCCTAGGCATGCAGTACCACAAACTGACAGAGCACTTTGACGAGAAGCCTTTCTCCTGTGAAGAGTGTGGGGCCAAGTTTGCAGCCAATTCTACCCTGAAGAACCACCTTCGCCTTCACACGGGGGACCGCCCGTTCATGTGCAAGCACTGCCTCATGACCTTCACCCAGGCTTCTGCCCTGGCCTACCACACCAAGAAGAAGCACTCAGAAGGTAAGGCGTGAAGAGTTTCTTCATTTTTCCTGCCAACTTTAACTGGATGAACTGCCCAAAAACCCATTTGGAACTAGGCATGACATGTATCTCAAGTAGATTAAAAACAAAAAAACAATGCAAAGTCTTTGTCTGGAGTGATGACGGAAGTACATAGATACACAGGCATGTAAGATGCTCATGGTGAGAGTTTGCGAAGAGAGGCTAGCTAAGGTAGGATTGTGACCGTACAGTTGCAGACTTGGCAGAAAGCCAGGAGTTCCTTGGGCTTGGAGGTGGAGTTCAAGCATGAGAAAAACCCTGGCTGAGCACCTGCTATGGGTCAGGCGGCGGCCGCGGCCGAGTGACAAAGCTGGAACTGCTGTGCTCCCAGAGCTGATGGGCCAGGGGTTCCCTGGTGTAGAGACCAATGCAGTGCAGAGCCGTCGGCAGTGGGATAGGGAATAACCCCAGCCAGATGAAGGATGGAGGAGGGGTTTCTAGTCCTGTCAGAGGCAGGGAGATGCGTGGTCAGTGAGGGCTTCTTGGAGGACTCTCTGCCTTGTTTGTACATTTATGTGTAAGGAAGAACCCCACCATCGGGCACCTGGGGGGCTCAGTCGGTGAAGCGTCTGCCTTTGGTTCAGGTCAGGATCCCAGGGTCCTGGGATCGAGCCCCGCATCGGGCTCCCTGCTTGGCAGGAAGCCTGCTTCTCCCTCTCCCTCTGTATGCTCTCTCTCTCAAATAAATAAATAAAACCTTAAAAAAACCAAATAAAATCCCACCATCATCTCACGTGGATTGTGGTAGCTACGGGCCACCTAACTGGTCCCCTTGCTCTCCTCCTCTCCCTAGATGGTGCTCTCGGGACACAGGCCCCAGTGGTTCTTTTAGTGCTAACCCATATCCTGTCACTCCTCTGCTCAAAACCTTTTTGCAAAGGCTCCTCACCTCACTTGGTGTAAAATCTGAAGGCCTAACGATAGCCCACCAGGCTCCCTGTGACCAGGTCCCCTAAGACCTCCCCTCTTACTCCTCTCCCCACCCTCACCCCGTTCTCCCCACTGCAGCCTCCTTGCAAGGCTCCAGCCCTGCAGGACACCTGCTTTCTTGTCATCCCTCCTCACCTCCTTCAGGTCTTCATTCATACCTCTTCCCCGCGAGTCCTTTCCCGACCACCCCGTGTAAAATCTCAGCCCCAGCCCCAGCCCCAGCTCCAGCTCCCCTGCATCGTTTTCCTCTGTGGGGCTTGTCGTAGGATATATTATCTACTTCATTAATTTCTTGTGTTTCTAGTCAGTCTCCCCCTGTTAGAATGCAAGCTCCATGAAGGTGGAGCTGTTAGTCTCCCCCCCGCCCCCACTTGTGTATGAGTGGAATAGTACCTAGCAAGAGTAGAGCCTCAGGAAACATTTACTGAGTGAATGAATTTCTGCAGCACTATTCCAGGCACCGGGGAGAGTGTAAGTGTACACACATGGTCCCATGGAGTTTGCATTCCAGTGGGTAAGAGAGACCATAAGCAAACATGTAATATAAGTTCAGACAGTAGTCACTGCATAAAGTAGGGGAAGCAGCAGGGGAACGTCAGGGTTCGCTCTCATCAGAGGCAGCCCCGGAGACGTGAGGCTTGTGTAGGAAACCGAGTGATGTGAGAGCCTACAGAAGATCTAGAAGAGCATCCCAAGTGCAGAGCCCCCTCCCCAAGTGGGAATGAGCCTGACCTGTTAGACATCAAGAAAACTAGAAGGAGCCAAAGCAGAGTAGACAAGGGAAGAGTGGTAAGAGAGAAGGCCAGAGAGGTCACCAGAGGCCAGGTCTTGTAGGGCCTTAGAAACCAGGGTCAGGATTTTGTTTGTTGTTGTTGTTTTATTTTGTTCTGTTTTTAGGACTTGGGTTTTTATGCAGAGTGTGCTAGTTTCTATTGCTGCTATAACGGATTACCACACACAGTGGCTGAAATCAATGCAAATGTATTATCTCGCCACTTCAGAGGTTAAAAGGCTAAAAGAGGTTTTAGGAAGAGTCAAAGTTTTGGCGAGTGTGTTCCTTCTGGAAGGTCGGGGGGAGAACTTGTTCCCTGTTTTCCCAGCTTGTGGAGGTCGGTCGTGTGCCTTCCCTGGCTCATGGCCATGCCCCTGCAACCTCTGGGTCCCCTATCGTGCCTCCTCCTTTGACCCTCTTGCTCCCTCTTCCAAAGACCCTGTGATTATGTTGGGCCTGCTGGTATAATCCAGGATAGTGTTCCCATTTCAAGATCCTTAACTTAATCATATCTGCAAAGCCCCATTTGCTGCGTGAGGGGACGTATTCCCAAGTTTCGAGGGGTTAGGACATGGGCATCCTTGGGGGCCATTATTCTACAGCAGGAAGCCATAGGACAGTTGGGAGCAGAAGAGCAGTAGGATGTGACTATGTTTTTTGGAGTTAATTCTGGCCACTCTCAACAGTCTGCTGTAATAAGGCAAGAGTCGTGTTCACAGGGAGGCAGGGCAGGCCATTTGTCTGGTGTGGAGGTGACGGGGCTCTCAGCTGGAGTGTGCTAGGGGCGGTTGTCAGACGTTCAAGTTTGGGGATGTGGTATTGAAGCGGAAGTGATAGATAGGACCCATGGTGGGCTGCGTGTGGGTGTGCGGGGAGGAGTTAAGGATGGGTGTGAGGTTTCTGGCATGAGCAGCTGAGGACATGGCCCTGCCATTCACTGCAGCGGAGGAAACCAGAGTGCATGGGGGCTGCTGGCAGGTTGCGGGAGTGCCAGGGATGGAGCCTCAGGAGCTCTGTCTGGGGGACCGGTGACACCTCCAGGCAGAGAAGGACAGTCGTAAGAGGTTGGATGTGTTAAGTCTGCAGTTCTAGGGGAAACTGGGAGCCAGAGATAGAACTGTGGGCGCTATCAGGGTACAGATGGTATCTGAGCTCTGAGATAAGGTTATCTACAAAGGGAGGATAAAGAAGAAGGCCAAGGGCTGAGTCCTGGGCTTCTCAATAATTTCAACTCTTGATTGAAGAAACCCTTTTTCTCCTAACAAAATCTTATTTCAAAGCCCAACATGTGAAAAATGCAAATGACGTTGATTGCTCTAGCTGAAGTAGGCCCTAGGATCTGGGGGATCTGGACCCTCACCTCACTGATTTCTCCACTTCTCTGCTGGCCCAGAAGGGAGCCTGGGGGCACAGCTGGTCTGGTGGTTTCTTACAAATGCCAGTTTTCCAGCCTTGCTCCTTACCTCTATTTCCTAACAGCCTTTGGCAGTCTGGCCATTGTATCCTCATTATGTGTGTGAGAGAATAGAGAAGCCAAATGATTTATAATAACTTTATAGCAAGTCAGCAGGAGGAGGCTTCCCTTCTCTGAGTCCCGTCTGTCACCTCTGTGTGCAGGCGCGATTTTGCACAGCGCGTGTGGCGAGGGATCCAGACCCGGGGGTTTCTGGGCATGAGGATATATATTCTGCTTCCTGGGAGTGGAATGAGCTCTTCCTTACTTGGGGTGGCCTGGTTAACAGATGGGTGGCCTTGTGTGATGAGCTGTCCTTATTCCTCGGGGAGGGGGGCCACACTGCCATCAGCTGTGTGTGAGATGCCATCCGATAGAAGGGCCCAGACCTCTCACCCAGTGTGTTACAAATTGCGTGTGGTTCTAACGCCGTCTCCCAGATCATATTCCCCAACACGTGCCTTATAGTGTGATCTTGTGTTAGGGAGGCCATACATGTTTGGTGCTGTTTCTAATAAGGAAACTCGTGCGTGTTTCCAGGGAAAATGTATGCCTGCCAGTACTGTGACGCTGTGTTCGCCCAGTCCATTGAGCTGTCCCGCCACGTGAGGACCCACACCGGCGACAAGCCGTATGTCTGCAGGGACTGTGGCAAGGGCTTCCGGCAAGCCAACGGCCTGTCCATCCACCTGCACACCTTTCACAGTACGTACGGAGATGGCGGCTGTCAGGCTCTCAGCGCCAGGCGTGGCTCTGAGAAGGCGTGTAACCATCATGACAGACGTTGTCACTCCACCAGAGCCAGGCCCCATTTGGTGCCTTCCCCTCCCCTATTCTCCTTCAAAACTGAGTCCCTCGTTTCTGTTTCTAGAAAAATCCCATTTTAACATGTCATTGTGTAATGTCCGGGCTGTTGCCTTGTCTCCTTTTTAGCCCACCTGGCACTGCTTGGCTGACAAAGGCAAATTATGCTTGAAGGAGAGCCTCAGTAACAGACAGGCCGTAGAGCAACAGAATATTCCCATTAGGTCCACTGAGCGGCTCTTTGCACGCCCCCTCCCTCCCCCGCTCATCTTGGAGTCCTACCCGCCTTCCCCATAGGAGCAGCCAGACGCTGTCTGAGTTAATATCTCCTGTCGTGAGTGGTCCCTGCTCAGGCCTCCCACCTCCCGCCCCGGGAAGCCTACTGCACGGCATTCTGTCCCCTGTGCCCCTGGGGCCACGCAGGTAGTGGGGTCTGCCCCCGCCTGTCTCCCCTTTTACCAGAACTGATACAGACAAAACACACTTCTGGTCAACACACGCACAGGAAGGCAAAGAGAGCTCTGTGCGTCCTCATCCCGGCCTTGGGAAATGGCCAGTGTGGTCGGGCGGCCACGTCCCACCTCCCCCAGCAGACTGGTTACAGCGGGAGTGAGCAGCATGGTGCAGCAGGGGGGTTAGGAGCTTGGGCTCTGACACCACACGGGCCTGGAACTGGACCTTGACCCCGCCATTTACTTCCTTGAGACCTTAAACAGAGTTCTTAACCTTTCCAAGCCCCCTCTGCCCCTTCTGTAAATGAGGAAAAATAATAATGCCACCACCTTGGATTGCTGTGAGAATTAGTAAGGTATCCCATGTAAAGCATGAAGCTCCCTGCCTGACACACAGAAAATGCTCGATAAATGCCAGATAGTATTATTGGTGGTGAAAGCAACCCTCTCAGGTGCCATTTGTCACCATCAAAGCCTGTCTTTCTGGCGTCCCATTCACCCTGCATATCCTTCTCCCCTTCTTCCCTCCCCACCCCTGTTTCCCACACACCAGTTTCTAGCTGTCAGCAAAAACAGTGCCTCACAAACACAGGCTTTATGTCAATACATTCAAATATATTATCAGCCAGCCAGCAAAGGACGTTGCCAGGGCTCCTATGTGCCCGACATGGGGCTAGACACTGGGCAATGCAGGAGGTATATACATTGCTGCCCCTTTCCCCCAGAGAGTTCACAAGTCCCCGTATCCAGCTGCAGTAGACTCCCAGATGATGAGATCTGGCTTAGATCTGGTGCCATAAGTTCAGTGTCCTTTCGATCTTTCTAAAGGTCATTCTGCTCTAGTCTCCTTTTCCTGGTAGCATTACCTGGGAGCCAGGAGAGGGTGGGACTAATCAACTGTCAGGATGAAGAGGAGCCCCAAGACTTCCGTGTCATTGGCAGCAGGCCAGCGGCCAGGCCCCTCTCCTGGACCACTCCTTGCCTGTCACAGGACCGCGTCATCGCGGATGGACAACTGCTTCACCGTGCCTTCAGAGACTGTGTAGACTGAGATTTCAAGAGCTCATGTCCACAGGGACACTGGTTAATGACACCAAGTGCTGCCGTGTGTCCAAATTCCAGAATTAATTGGACTCCGTGCACACGTAAGATTGGCTAGTAGGCAAAGGATTGTATTATTAAAACATTCTGCTTTCTGTTGCTTTCAGAAAAAATAAATTGAAGTCTCTTGCCATAGGGATGGCAAATGTATCCTTCATCAGTGCTGCTGCTTATTTTTGAGGCCTCCCTGCAAAGTTGGCGTGTCTAGTTAAGCAGGTGGCTCAGAGCACGGCCTTGGGAATGAGAGCTGGACTGTCACCCACTTCAGCCATTTCCCACTTGTGTCACTGGGTGCTCTCTAAGCGTTGCTTTTCCTAATCTCTAAAATAGGATGATAGTAGATCCCACTCATAGGGTTATTGGAAAGATAGAGTGAGTTTATGTTTGTAAGGCACTTAAAACATGCCTGTCATACAGCACTCATTAAACATTGAAAATGTTTGTATTGTTGAATCTAAGGTGAGGAGGAGGGAAGCATTCTTCCTGTCAGTCAACGTTGACAACAAAGGAAATAGTGAGGCTCTGGGGAGTGTGTTGGAAATCTCTGCAGAAAATGAGAACACTCAGAAATGCCCAGTGCAGGCAGGGGAACAGCAAGGGCAGTACTCCCTGCAAAGTAGTTAAGTGGAATTGAACTTGTAGGATGTAATGTGAGGAATGGCGATGAACTACCTGGTGCCACAGAGGGGGTTTAGTACAGAAGCCTCAGAGGAGGCATCCCCCTTCCTGGGATGAGACGAAGGTAGGGGGTAGTCAGGTGATCGCCGTGCTCGTGGCCGGGCCTGACCTCTGAACAGTCTCGCACCTGGAGCCGTGCACAGCAGCCACGTCTCCCTGACGGCTGCCTGTGGTGTTTTTCCCCTCCCTCTCTCCTCACGGATGTCCGTGAAACCAGACATAGAAGATCCGTACGACTGCAAGAAATGCAGGATGAGCTTCCCCACTCTGCAGGACCACCGCAAGCACATCCACGAGGTGCACTCCAAGGAGTACCACCCCTGCCCCACGTGCGGCAAGATCTTCAGTGCCCCCTCCATGCTGGAGCGGCACATGGTGACCCACGTCGGAGGGAAACCCTTCAGCTGTGGGATCTGCAACAAGGCCTACCAGGTGACCGTGCGCTCGGCCGGGAGCACCACCTCCCCCTCCCCGTCCCCCACCCCCGTCCCCATCCCCATCCCCAGTCCCCAGCCTATCCTCCCTTACATCTGCCAGGAGTCCCAGAGAGGACGATGTGGCTGCTACCATGAAGGATGCAGCTTGTAATTACTCAGATTCTCTAAGGTGATCTGGTCAGAGTAATGCAGTTGGGAGCTTTAATTGGAGCCGAAAATTCCTACACCTCTTCTCTTGGATTTCAGCCCTGTCATGAGCTGAATGCTGCTTTTCCCCTTGGACATTCACACTCTGTGGAGCCTATTGACCCCATGTGTCAAGGGATGTGAGAGTGACAATGGACTGTATAACATTGCCTGGAGTTACCTTGTTTAGCACAATGACTGGGTTGTTATTGCTGTTTTTAAACTCCTAGGGAAGGGGTCTGCTTTTTCACCGTAGAATTTAGTATGTAATTAAAGGGAAACCCCGTGTGGAACTAAAAAGAAACCACATATGAGAAGCTCAACTCTAAAACTACAGAGAAAAAAATGGTTCTTGTGACGTCTGTAGGATTTGGATGTAGGGAGAAAAGCCCAGCAGCTAATTTCAGCTCCACAGACATGGAGAGCTAACTCCACACCTGGTGCTGTGACCACAGAGCTGCGTAAGGCCTTGGCTTGGTCTCTGGGAAAGCCTGGAACTGTAGGGAGAGTTTCCCCGGGCTGCTCTGGAACCCGGGAAGGAGCAGGGACAGCACATGCTTCTGCTCCATCGGGCTTCTCTGCTGCTTCCCGGGGCCTCTTGGAGGCAGGGAGATACAGCTCAGACGCGCCCGTTGGAAGGCCAGGGTTTGAATCCTCGGCCTGCTGTTCACTAATGATATGACCTTGGGCAAGTCTTCTAACCCCTGTGTGCCTCAGCTTCCCCCTCATTAGAAAGATTCTGATGCCTCGCTCATAGGCTTGTTGTGAGGGGTGAGAGTTTCTGAAGGACCAGGCTGTGCCCTGCCCTGTAGTGGTCTCTCAGTAAACACACAGGTGCCTGCTTCCCCCGAACACCAGCCTTTCCCCTCACGTGAGCACTCAGTGTGACAGGTAGGAGTGTGATTCTAGATCCATAAGCTCATTTGTCTCACGAAGGCCTTGGGACCTCTCCAGCTTGCTGGAACCTTCTAAGACTTAACGTTTGCCATATTCCTTGCAGCAATTGTCTGGTTTGTGGTACCACAATCGGACCCACCACCCTGATGTGTTTGCTGCTCAGAACCATCGATCTTCCAAATTCTCGTCACTCCAGTGCAGCTCCTGTGACAAAACCTTTTCCAACACCATTGAACACAAGAAGCACATCAAGGCAGAGCACGCAGGTGAACTTTGGGTGCCTAGAGACCGCGAGTGGGAGCTGATGAGTGGGAGCGGCTCGATGACAGTGTCCTGGGCTCCAGCCCCCAATCCCAGCTTCCGGTGCTATAGTGTGGTGTGTGTGGCAGTGGCTTTTGTTCTGTCCCGGCACACCTGAAGGAGGCCACACCGGCCCATCAGTAACAGGGAACAGTAGCTTGAGTGGCAGTGGTTCTCAAACCCGGGGGCCTGGAGCACGGTAAGCTCCTACCAGCCCTGAGGGACACTGGTACATTGTGGGACCTGGGACGGGTGGTGGCTCTAGAGGCCGATAGGCTCGGGTGGAAATCCCGACTCCCGCACGGAGCAGCTGCATGACCTTGGCAAGTGACCTCTCTTTCCTGAGCCGGTTTCCTTCTCTTCAGAAAGTTAATACCCACTGTGCCGCTCAGTCTGGGGATAATCACCATGGTCATGAAGCATCTCCTATGTGCAAGGCACCTGCTAAGCATTGGTGGGCGCTTTCTTATTCCATTCTCGTAGCAGCCCTACTTCCATCCAGGCGGCCTGGCTCCAATCTGGCATTTTCTTTACACTAGACTGCGCTGCTAGCTCATAGCTGTGAGGTTCCTGGCACTTGGCAGACGCTTGCTAAGTGTCGGCCCTCACCACCCTCCCCAGCCTGAGAGAGCTGTCCTCTGGTTGGTTCCCACCACTTCTTTCCTGTGTGCTCCGCAGATATGAAGTTCCACGAATGTGACCAGTGTAAGGAGCTCTTCCCCACGCCAGCATTGCTACAAGTTCACATCAAGTGCCAGCATTCAGGTCAGTGCCCCTCGTGAGATGCTCCTGGCTGGGACTGCCCCGGTGCTTCTCGTCTCCACCATCCACAGCTGTGCAGTCCAGGCCAAGGAACTGAACTGACTTGTGCCTCAGTTTCCTCATCTATAAAACGGGGACAATTATAGTGCTTCCTTCCTTCTAGGGTAACTGCAAATTGAATACGTTAGTACACGGAAAACACACAAGGCCCGGCACCCGTGAGCATCCCTCTAGCGTGACCTGTGATTATTGTTGTCACTGCCATGTCTCCTCAAATCTAAAATGCTAGTCTTTCATGAACCATTAAGAAAGAAAAACTGCTGCCAGTTAAACTATACTTTATTGTCACTTAGAATTTGCAGGTGATTCTAAGTGCTGTTTTGGACTTAATTTGGCATAGATTGTACACACTCTTGTATGGGTGCATCAGAAGGAGAATCACCAGATAAATCATGGTGAGCATCCCGCTTCTCAGAGCAGCTTTCACTTCCGACTGTCGAGGCGCGTGTCATCGCACGTGGCGCTGTGATGGGGCACAGGCGGGCCGTGGGCTTGGGTCCCTCGAGCATGACGTGGAACTGGTCTACTTTTGGTGCACTGGGCATGTAGCTGGACATCCACCCCTTACTCATCCCTCCTAAACCCTCCTAAACCCCCGGTTCCTGGGAGTTAAAAACGTGCACCACTCCTGTCTCAGGGATGTTCTTCGAAGCCACGGACACACGCCCCACAGGTCTCGGTGTTGCCCTCATAGCCGCCCGTGTGTGTGGTCACTGCTAATTTTACATCCCACTGCTGCCTAGCCCGTAGCGGTCATAAGATGCCATCGAACCCAGGTCAGAGATGTTAAAGCACGCCTCTTAGACTTGATGAAGTATGGCGTCCTCAGCATCCTGATCTACAGTTGAGTGAAGAATGGCCTTCAACCAAGGCCAAGTCAGTCTGAAGCTAATACTGACGAAGCTGTGGTTGCAGAGCCCCTTGCTTGCGTGGGACCTATTCCTGTATTTGTAACGTTGCCTTATTTTTCCTGAAGAGGATCCCCCAAACTGTAGAAGCTTCAGGTCCCACAGAACCCGAATCTGCCTCTGCACCTCGATCCTGGTTGCTCCTTCCTCTCCCCTCTCCCTGCTCTTGTTTCTCTCCGGCATTCCGTCTAGCCCATCCTTTCTGTCCGCCCTCTTCCAGGGTCCCAGCCGTTCAAGTGCTTGTACTGTACGGCCACCTTCCGCTTCCCGGGAGCACTGCAGCACCACGTCACCACGGAGCACTTCAAGCAGTCAGAGAGCACCTTCCCCTGTGAGCTCTGCGGGGAGCTCTTCACCGCCCAGGCCCAGCTGGATGCTCACTTGGAATCTGAACACCCAAAGGTGATGGGCTCTGAACCCCAAGCAGCAGCCTCGCAGGTGGTGCAGGTGATTCTGGGGCCATCAGATACGAGGGTGCTAACACGGGGTTCCTGAGGCTTCTGTGGAGGCAGCTCTGTCACACCACCCAGCCTTTCTCTTGGGGGCTCCCGGAAGATCCCATTAAGTAATAACATGACCAAGAGGCCCTTGTAGAGGAGTCTCTCTGGTGGACCTCTTACCAAACAGAACAGAACATTCTAGTCTCCTGGCAAGCACCTGCAAATGGCCCCTGGGTAGAGGGAGCCTGGAACGAGAATTTCCAAAAGCAGAACACCTTTGGTTTGTCCTAATTCACACACTTCCCCCACCTTCTGCGAAACACCGTGGGGTGTGACAGGAGTGGCAGGAAATCTGAGAGAAGGGGGTGAGCTCTCTGTTGGGACCCCCTGCCGCTGAAACACTTTGATAGCTCCTCTAGTCTGGGCACAGGACACTGGGTACATCAGGGCTCCTCGCCTTTACCTGGGGGAGAAGCTCGCCTCTCCCTGTCTTCTCCAGAGAGGGTGGGCGGAAAAGGAAAAGAAACGCAGTTCTGTGGATTATCTGTGGATGGACAGGAGCAGTGCTGTTAACTGATTGGACTGCCCCGCTGTCCAGCCCCACAGAGGAGTCCTTGATGAACCATGTTCTCAGGGGCCTCTGCAAGACCAGAGAGCAGGTCAGGTGGGCAGGCTGCAGTGAAGTTCCTGCTACCATGTCACCCAGAATGGCTCTGCTTTGGTCTTTTTTTTTAATATATATAAGGATTCTTGGTAAGATGTCCTTTGAGGAAAAAGGAAAAAAAAGAGGCTTCCATTCCTAAAGAAAAAGAAAGAAAACCAGTTTGAAAACTACTATCCTAGATGATTTTTGATTAAACATCATAATCCATCTTCTCACCCCTCACAGCACCGTGGGGCTGAACTTGGCTTTCCCCTTCTGCCACTCAGGCCTAGCGCTCTGCTCTCCACTCCTGGCTAGTTGTCAAGGGCCAGGGTGACTGTGCCCTCTGTGGGCTCCCTGGTTTGAAAATATCAAGGGGCACCAAGCTGCCCTGAGTCCCCATAGGTCACAAGCATCAACTTGGAGGTTGGGACGGGAACTGGGTGTGCTTCACCATAGACTGGTTCTCCCTGAGTCATCTTGAGCAGGTGACACAGATTTGGAAGGGGTCTGTGTGGCCTTTGGAGAAGGGCTGCCTGCTGGGGAGGCCGAATGAGGGAGTTGATAGAAGTCACATTTCCTCCACTCGTTCCCGCTTCTAAGTTCTATAATGATGTAGCCTCCAAGGAAGGCTCTTCTTCACCTGAGGGCCAGAGACACCACCTTTGGCCAGCCAAGGCTGCTGATAAATCCTTCCATTTCTGTGGTCAGGCCTGAGACTAACTACTTTCAGTAGCCTTCCTTTCACATGGTGCTTACCTCTGCGGTGTGATCCTCAAGACACGAAAACCCAGTGTAAGAAACTGAGCCGGTATTCACTGGTGTGTAATCATAGAGTCCGGGCACCCTGAGATGGCGTACTGAGCTAAATTATAGCAATTTAGCACACAGAGTTATTTAAATTGTTTGCTTGCCTTCTCTTTTGCATCGCCTGTGTTAGACTTGCCTCTTCCCATTAGGCGCATGTAATTGCTCTCCTCAGGTGAAAACATAAATATCATCATTACAGCATGAGACAAAAACCATGTAAATTCTGGGGAGCTCCCTGTGGACACTGCCTAGACAGCCTCACGGTCTTTCCCTTTCAGGTGATCCAAACCCCAGAGCCGGCAGCCCCGACAGAGCAGGTGATCACTTTGGAGGAGACCCAGCTTGCTGGGTCACAGGTATTTGTGACGTTGCCAGATTCGCAGACATCTCAGTCCAGCTCTGAGCTTGTGGCCGTGACCGTGGAGGATTTGCTAGATGGTACTGTGACCCTGATCTGTGGTGAGGCCAAATGAGTGGCCAATCATCCCATGGAGGCTCCTGCGTTTGCAGCAGAGCGAGCGTTCCGCGGCTTGCCGTTGGCCCTCAGTCCCTGGCTGTCCTGAGTAGCGAGCATCTCAGCCTGCACCAATCAGAGCACTCTCACTTTGTTCTCACAGAACCAACAGTGTTGGGGTCCTGGGCACGGACGCCACTGCCCTCCCCAGGGGACAGGCCTACTTCCCACAGGCCTGCTGCTGTGGCCTCTGATGAGCAGTGGGATGGGAGCTGGTGACCGGGGCACTGGAGAGGTGCCGCAGGCCGGCGGCCTTCACTGTGCAGCATGGCGGGTAGAGGTGGGCCTGCAGCCCACAGACTGGGCCCTCCAATGGTGCCGGTGCTTCCTGGCCATTTAGAAGTGAGAGAAAAGCACCAACACACCATCCAGAGACCCCCCGGCTAGAGCACACTTGGCTCCTTCCACACTCTGTCATTACCATCCTCTTGGGTGGCCTGGCCCTCTCCTGGTGGCAGGACAGGGAGCAGCGTGTTCACACAGGCCGAGTCCCAGCTCATCAGTACAGTTAGCCCTTGCCCAAACCAAGCCTTGCGGGGTTTCTGCGGGATGCGCTCCCTGTGGGGCCGTCCAGCTGCAGACAATCCCTGCCCTTCCAGAATCTTCTCCGCGGTGTTCTGTACCGGAGGGCTGTCCCCGCAGCCTTCCGTGTTCTCCTCAGAGCCGAGACTGTCTTCCCCTCGCTCCAGAGCCTGTGGAGGGCTCACGAACCAGCGCCGGGTGCCGGGGTGCCCCGGCTCCTCCCCCTGCCACGGTCTCCCTGCCTTGTGAGCGGCCTGCTGTCCAGTTCCTCCAGGCAGCGCCTGTTACTGCGGGCTAGTGATCTTTTGGCGTCAGAATTTCACAAAGCTTTTTTATCTTCAGTTCCTAAAATATAATCTGATAATTAATGGTTTGTGGAATGAAGTGCAATTAGATGGATGTAGGTTCCTGCCGTTCGGAGGGAATGACTAGCATTTATCTTCCTTTCCTCGATGCTGGAAAGTCGAAGACTGCTAGTGCAGTGTTTACACACCGGGCAGGGCTGCCGGCCACCTGGTGCAGCGTCACCCCTGACTGAGCGTGACTACATCACTCACCCTCCAGCTACGGGCTGGCAGAGGACAAGCCCACGCCTTCTTTCCAAGCGCATTTCACGTCACCAGGTACAAGCAGGGGCAAGGGGTCAATTTGGGACACAGTCAGGACTTCCACTGCCTCCGCACGCTGCTGGTAGGACAGAAGGCAGGGCCCCGCCACTGCCTGCTGTGGCCGCCGTGGCCACGCGCCAGCAACGAGTTCCAGCGCGGGCCTGCGCACGCAGGCAGCTAACTCCTCCCGCCTCCAGTCGTGTCCTCGTTTTGATTTGCAAGTCACTTGAGCTTGTCGGCTCAGGGATCTTCCCATTCTGGAGTAAATGAAGTTTTCAAAGGCAAGTCCTCAGAAGCCGAAACCTGACCAGAAGATGGTGCTCAAACCTTGAAGACGTGGCCTCCACACGAAGCCCTCCCTGCTCCTGCCACAGCTGGCTCGTCTTCAGCTGGTGCGGTCCCGGGAGCTGTCAGAGCAGGGGAGCTCTTGATCTGCAAGTGGCAGAGTGGCACCGAATCTCCCGTTGGCACCAGCTGAAGCCCTCTGAAAGGGACTGGAGTGGCCCAGCCCAGCGGACAAGGATGCTGGTCCGCCGCGATGGTTGGGGGTTGCGGCGTCATCAGAATTTCTGCTCACCGAAAAATAACTGAATTGCTGAGGGCCCGTGGGGGAAAGTGATTTTTTTTTTTAAGAAGCCTTGTGATGAAAGAAAGCTGTAAGTTTTTAAACCAAGTTTCAGATCCTTTCAAGTACCGAGAACTCCTTGCTCGGGTTTCCGTGGGAGCCCCCGATGGTGGCAGGGCACGCTTTCCTTCAGAATCGCGGGCCCTGCAGCTCGCTCGCTGTGCGGGGCGCACGCAGAGAGGTGGGCGCTGTCGTGGATGCGCGCTCACCTACCCCGTGGCGCACGCGGCAGGAGGCACAGACGCTGTGCTGCCTCTGGTCAGGAATGAGGAAAGGTGCGTCCTGAACTTAACCTTTGCTCTGAGTGGACCTCCGCAAGGGGCTGCCTTGGTGGCAATTTTGTAGTGTCACTCCCTAGAGATGCCCAAGCGTGGACTTTATTGTAGGAAGACTTTTCCTAGCTCTGCTTGGCCATTTTGTTCTTTCCTCCCACTGCTGCCTGAGAGACCTTCTGAATGTCTGCCACAGAGGACATTGTCATCGTGCTCTCCTCGGTCCCCCTCACTTGCTTTCTCATGGCAGAGGTGTCTCTGCCTCATTGCCATGGGTGCGTCCTTCCTGGTGGCCTCCAGGCTGAACCCTGGGGGCATTTGTGGTGGTGTGGAGGAGCCTGTGGGCTCCTTGGAACCCCTGCCCGAATATGTCCATTGGGACCCCAGACTTTCTGTGCTCCCAGAGCTCATGAAGCAGCTGGTGAGGAGAGATAGGCAGTCAGATTCCAAGCTGGAGTCTAAATCTGTGGGAGTAATGGGGATCGCTTAGGGAACAGGATTTGCCATCCCAGGTAAGTGAGGCGACAGGTAGGAGATTGAAGAGCAGGGGTTGCCAGAGGAACATGGGACTGTCCCAAGGACATGACAGCACCTGGCCACAGGGGCAGCAGAAGGGTGGAGGCAAAGGCAAAGCTCCTGCTTCTGTAATAAAGCCTGTCTCTTCTGTCTCAGAAGCTTTGTGTTTAGAAAACGTGGAGCCCAGCAAGTACCAAGGACTGCGCTGTGAATCCTGGGTTCCCCTGGTGATCCAAGGCTTCTCTGTGGAAGCGCTCTGACTCTCCCCTCTCTCCGACCACCGGCATCAGCCTCATCCCTCAGGGAAGAGCTCTGATGGTCAGGTGCTGAGGGACAAAACGGGGTCTAGTCTGACAGGTGAATGGGGGGGGAAGGTCCCCTTCTCTCCTGGTTTAAGTAAGTCAGGGATACTCTCAGAATCAAGAAGAAAGATGAGATGGACCCTAAGAGTTTCTCACCCCAGGTGATGTCACGGTCACCACAGGCTGATGACATATTAATGAAATGGGAGGGCTGTGCCTTTAAATCTCATGTGCCCGAGATCTTTGAATTGCCTAAGGGATGGAAGAAACTGCTAACCTCACATAGAACGGTTCTAGGGGATAAGGAGTGTTTGTATTAAATCGGGGCTAGAAAGCGGGACAATGATGGAGAAATGGCTGAGATGCTTTAATTATTTCTCCCAAAGAAAGAACAGCAGCCTCAGCCCCCTCCACTTGGTCCAGTATTTCCCAGGGACCCTTGGGAGGTAGGGAAAAAATGGGAGTAACAGTAAGATTTGGGGTTGAAGAAGGTATCAGAGGCAAACTGATGATTGTTTTGTTGCCATGGAAAACCTTGGGGTTGTAGGACTTGGGCCAGAAGCTCAAAACACAGCCAGAGCTCAGAAACTTCCTGCATGTACAGCTGTGCCTATAAGGACGAGAGAAGCTGCCTGTGCTCTGGGATCACGCTGTTGAGAAAAATGATCCCCTGGGCTAATTCACATTGTGTCCAAATCATGGAAATGTTCGTCGTTTCTCTTCCCAAGGCCAGCCACACCTCCCACGACGGTCAGGACAACCAGCCAGCACCTGATGCTGTGTAAATTAAATTACGAACCATTATTTTCATTTAACTTTTGCACTATTCTATATAAATAAAATATGTACTTTGAAAAAATTGTGCTGCATGAGTTTCAAACAGACTGTAATGAGACCTGTTTCCTCTTTGGTTCTGGCCAGGGGCACAGCCTTGACCAGGGATTCCTAGGGGCTCTTGTACCTTCAGGTCAGGCCAGCATGGCGGGTGGAGGGGATGCTGTCCTGTCAGGGGGAAGCTCTTCCTGAGAGCCCGCTTGCCCCAGGAGCAAGTGTGATGCGGTGTGTCGGAGGCGGGCGTGGGTGTGCAGCCTGGGCATATCCGCGCTGTGCCACTTGCTGACTGCGTGGCCTTGGGGGAGACACCCTCCCAGCCCCCTCCTCGCAGCTGCCATCTGTAATGGGGGACAGTGCCGCACAGAATAGTACGGGGAATTCCAAGGCTGGCTTCAATGAACTTAGTGTTGAGACTGTAATTGTTGGCTAAGTCTTTCATGTGGCGGTCAGCCATTCCCCGAGATTGCTGGTGCTGAGTGGTGTCCATTTCTGCACCTTCGCGTTTCTCTTCTCCCTCCCTCCCTCTCCCTCCCCCTCCCTCCCTCCCTCTCTCTCTCTCTCTCTTGCTCTCTCTCGCTCTCTCTCTGAACCCTCAGGGGACCTTATAACACCCACCACTTTTCATTTATCTCTGGCATCTCAACTGCCCCAGAGCACAAAGTGCTGAGCAGATGAGTATAACATAAGCAGAAACCTTTTGTGGTAAATAGCTGAACACGTCACGTTGCTGGCAGCCAAGGAGGCAACAGAGAGGCAGCCCACGGGCGGGATGCACATCATTTCTACAGGAAGAATCTGCGTGAAAGACAAGGGGAGGCACGTCCCCGCTATTCTGTCTGCTAGTCCTCTAAGGTCGGGTCAGCCCCGAAGCCAGGGCAAGCAGGGGTGAGGCGGCTCTGTGCTCGAGTCTCCCAGGACCGCCCTAGAGTGGCACGAGTGGACCCTTGTCCAGAGCCCACAGGGCCTTTATGAAGGAGTACCCCTGCCTATGCGGTGTCTGGAGACAGGCTGGAGCACTCCATTGTATTGGGAGCAATAACCCTTACAGTGTCCTAGGCAGCCTTGGATAACTGTAACACACCGCGGGGCTCCGGCCATGAAGGTGAAAGTGTGAAGAGGTGGGAAGTGGGCCGAGTGATCCCTTGGCAGTCCCATTATCCCTGGGCCTGGGGGGCTGCTGTAGGAGGCTAGATGGCGCAGGGGGAAGGGCATGGACTAACTAGATGGATGACCTTGGCCAGGGCCTTCCTGAACTCCTAACGGCATATAGATGCTTTGGAAATAATGTCTGTTACTGTTTCCAGCACTTCTAAAGAGCCTGGGGGGAGAGGGCAGAGAAGCGCAAGAAGGAGTAGGCCCAACATATCCCTAAGTTGGAGGGCCTGGAATAGAGTGCCGGGGTGCCCAAGACCAAGGTAAGACTCACCTCTCTGAGCTGTACTACAGTAGTCCCAGGGCCCCTGTCCCAGACCCAAGTGAACGTGGCGGGGGTGGGGGGGCGGACAAGAGGGGGACCGGACGTCCCGGCTTGGAGCAGCACAGCTGAGGGGTCTATTCTGAGTACAGGGGCAGCCTCTGAAGGTCAGCTGGGAGCACATGCAGTGAGAACTAGGGAGTGGAAACACGGAGTACATAATGGTGTCTGGCCTTCCCACCCTGCCTCTGGAGTGTTCTCTTCAGTGTTCATCTTACCTTCCATGTATGCTTGGGGATGTGTCTGGGTGAAAAGAGAAAGGTAGCTTCTGGCTGCCTCCATGTGAACTTGTCCTAGACTAAGGGGCCTCGCCCTTCATTGGAAAATAGCCCAGAACTCAGGGCTTCACTAGAAGAGAGGGTCTAGGTTCATTGCTCCTTGTGAACATTCTTTTTTTTTTAATTTTTATTTATTTATTCATGAGAGACAGAGAGGCAGAGGGAGAAGCAGACTTCCCGCAGAGCGGGGAGCCCAATGTGGGACTCGATCCCAGGACTCTGGGATCATGACCTGAGCCGAAGGCAGACGCTTAACCATCTGAGCCACCCAGGCGCCCTCCTTGTGAACATTCTTGAGGCTTAATTCTTGTGCATCTGTCCCACCTTCTGCCCTGTCACCCGGCGCTACCAGAGCATAGCCCCATGCCCACTAAGACACTTGTGTCTGCTCTGCCCACTTGGTGCACCAGACAGCACGCTCAGGTGCTTAGTAGATGTTGCTGCTCGTCTCTCCTGCCCTCACAGCCTTCAGGGAGAAACCAACCTCCCCATGTCACCCCTGCCAGCAAGGCTGTTCCCCAGGCTACCTGTGGGCTGCTCTATCAGAACATCCCCCGTTCTTTGTCCTCCGAGGAGAGACTAGCAGAAGGTGGAGAGCAGCTAGCCAGGCCCAGAGCTCCCCAGCTGCTGATCAAACACCACTCCTGCTCACCCTTCCTGCACGGGTTCCTCCAGCGTAGGCCAGAAACAGCTGATCAAACACACCAGGACAAGGTCAGTCCAGGGACCCACAGTCCCCTCCAGGGGAGATTTCATAGACCTGCCATCAGGACGGTCTGATAAAAATGGGCAGGGGGTGGGGAAGGGGGCCCACGGGGCTGGCACAGGACCAAACAGCTTTTCATTCCTTTTAAGGTTGAGACCTCTACGCTCCACACAGGGTCCAGAGCAAAGCCAGCACGCGCAGAGGCCAGGGCTAGCCCTGCCTGTGAGCCCGGGGACCTGAAGTAAAATAAGGAACAGGGTAGCTGTGCACACACGCATGACGGGGTGAGCGATGTCAGGCAAGAGCCAGTGTGGGTTTGGGAGCATAGGATTATTAGATTGTCACAGGGTGACTTAAGATCCTCCTTCACTAAACTGTGACCCCTTCAAGGGCAAGTGCTGTGCGTCATCCTGTTAACACACACACACACAGTGAGCCGGGCACATCAGGTTCTGATTGCCCAGGTCTGTTGTCCCTGAAGTTCTGGAGTCTCTGAGGTCCTGTTGTGTGCCCAGTCCCGTGCTAGATGCTGTAGAGGTTGGGTTGTGCTGGGCTGAGATGGGGTGTGGTTCCTGCTCCCAGGGACTGATCATCTTGTTGGCCAGGCAAAGATTATTTATGAGAAATAAGAACGAAAAACATCCATGCAGGTCCAGACCAAGACCTGAAGTACCTATAAATGCTGTGTTTCTTGCTCGCTTGCTCTTTCTTTTTTTTTTTTTTTTGGTTGTCTTTTTCATTGGGATGGTTAATATTTTTTAGAAATAGTCTCAGGGCGCCTGGGTGGCTCAGTTGGTTGGGCGACTGCCTTCGGCTCAGGTCATGAT